TACAATTAAACTCGCTATTTCTGATTTGAAAACAAGTAGTTTAGCTTTTATACAAACCTATGATTCGCTCTCATAGAAAACCTTTGTTAAAATAGGACCTCCGCCAAGTCTCACATTTTCTTTTGGTTTCTGTGTATATTTTGTACGTCTGCTACAAAAATAGTTTGCATTTTGATTTATCTTTAAAACTATGGTTTTATATTTAAAAAGAAACTTAATACAACACGTCTGTATTAGTACAATAGCCTTAAAACTAGAACCGGCAGAAGACAGCTGCTTACTGCTTGGGCGGTGGTCGGTAGACGCCGACAACGACGGCGTGGTCTCGTTCATAGGGCTCCAGCGTGAGCTGCTCCTGCGGCTTCAGCTTGTCCGCCTGCATCTTCTTCACCTCGGCAGCGAATACCGCTTCCGGCTGCGCCGTAGAGTCAATGCAGGAGGCCTTGATCGAGATGACAAAGTGGCCACCGTTCTTCAGGAAGTGCTGGGCATTTAGCGCCACAATACGACCCTGATCTGGCTGGGCAACATCGGCGAAAATGGTGTCCACCATGCCAACCAGCATGCGGTACTTGTGTGGATGGCGAGCGTCCTCAATGATCGGTATGATGTTGGTGCGCTTCTTGGCCACGTTGATCAGATCGCGACCGGATCGGTGTGAGAACTCCACGGCGTAGACCAGACCCTCGGGTCCAACCACATCCGACACATGGGAAACTGTCGTTCCGGAAGCGGCGCCCAAGTACAGAACCTTGGAGCCTGGCGGCATGTGGATCTGCTCAACTCCACCCAGGACGGCAGCAGCCAGCTTGGAGCGGAAGGGATTCCACACACGGTACTCAATCTTCTCACCATTGGTCTGAAAGGAAATTTAAAAGGTGATTACAAGTTTTGCTAAGTTGGTTTTAATAATAAATAAATAGTTTGAAAAGTAGCTGGGATATGATAGGAGGGAACAAAATTCACTGGGATTTTCTAGGAATCTGTTTTTTTTTTTGAAAAAGCGGTTTATATTTACTAAAATAATTACAATTTTTATATTTCTAGATAGCTTCATTTAATTGATCAAACAAGTCAAATAATTAATTTTGTTTGAATAAAATATTATAGACTTGACTAACTCTCGCTCGATAAGTGAAGTCGAAATTTACTAAAATAAACAATTGGCAACCATATTTTGTAACGCGATTTTAAAATAATGTAATGGAAATACTGTTTTGTGAAAATTTAAAAAATGTAAGATAAGTTGAAAAAAAAAAAATAAAAATGGTAAATAAACATGTGGTATTTCGAAGATAAAGAGCTTGAAACTATCTGAAAATCACTTTTCAAAATGGTGGATTTGTTTGGGTTTGGATTGTTTTGGAATAGACAGCGCCTCAGTTGTGCATTGTTCTAAGCAGGCCCTGGAGCACCCGCGACTGCTTCACGTGCACCTGGAGTGCACACAGCCACAGGTGGCCGCCAAGGATGCTCATGGCCACATGGTGCCATGTTCTGTACCCCTGCACAACCTCATCATCAGCTGGGGAACGGGATTAGAGCAAAGGTTGAGGGATGGAAGACTAACCTCGACGGAGATGCGCTTCTCGCCGTAAACCTCGGATCCGGGGACAAAGTTCCTGGTGACCAGGGCATCCTCCTTGCCGCGGGCAATGAACACGCCCTCGTGACGATGGGCCTCAATGGTGACCGTTTTGCCGGCCTTGAAGCCGCCGGCGCCACCTCCACGTCCGCCGCCGCCACGACCACCGCCTCCTCCTCGTCCACCGAAGCCACCGCGGCCGCCGCCACCTCCTCGTCCTCCGAAGCCACCACGGCCACCGCCTCCGCGATCGCCACCACCACGTCCGCCGCCACGGCCACCAAATCCTCCGCGACCTCCACGATCTCCGCCGCCGCCGCGACCACGGCCGCCACCTCCAAATCCTCCACCGCCACCTCCGCCGCCGCCACGCCCACGGAAGCCACCACCTCCTCCTCTTCCTTCGCCGCCGCCACCACCGCGTGGACTAAATCCTGCAAGAGAAATTAATCAAATTTAAATATGCACCCACTAAGAGGTTAAGTTAGGCTAAATAAACCGTAGATTTTTCGCCTGCTTTAATTAGGCTCAATAAAGGCATGTTTTGCGTACCTGGTTTGCCCATTTTAAGGTGCTGTACTTGCACTTTTTAATACAACTTTTAACAAAATGTGATTGGACCCGTTAACACGCGGCAACCAAAACGCTTGAAAAGAAAAACACGTGTGTGTGGCAGTGTGACCGCGTTGAAATACCGAAAATTATTGGCTAAAAATACCAAGAAAAACCTATCATAAAAGGTTTAAGACTTTAATAAACGGTTGGCGGAGTCTAAAACCATGGAGAAAAACAGCGGTTAGAAGGTACACCGATGTTTAATAAAAATAAGCCAATTGCATTAGTATATAACCACAATTAAAATCATTTAAATATTACGAACTGAAAGTAAAAGAAAAAGATGTTTAAGTTAGAAATAATATATATATTATTTGAAGTTATAAATTCTTTAAAAAATATTTTGGTATTAATTGATAAGCACTATTCATTTATTCGTTAAGTTATAGCCATTTGTCTGGTTTAATATGAGATTATTTAAAAAAGTATCGAAATAAATGGTATATGTGCATTTCCAATGGGGCGCTTGGGAGTCCCAAGTCGGGGCATACGAGCAAAAATATATAATGGGGCGTATTCAGTAAAACAACATGATCACTGATGGATTTCTTACAATAGTTCTGATGAGCGCGAATGATCACTGATCATAATGCACAAATTCTTCTATCATGATCAGCAAAAAGCAGCGTCAAATAAGGACGCAACATGATACCTATCTGATAGCCTATATCGATGGAATAAATATCGATAAGAATAAACAGAATGATCAGAATGTAAACAAAACAAAAATAAAAAACAAATAAAGCAAACAATAATTAATTAATGAATGCTTAATGTATCATAAGCGTTCAGCAGAACGAACTTAACTAGTTCATCAATGATCAGTGATCATGTTGTTTTGGTGAATAATTGAATTCATATTAAGGGTATTCGGAGAATACCCTTAATATGACTTGGTAGACTGCTTTTTTAGCTTTTTTAAAGACGGCTGACTAAAGTTAAACATGTGACCGTTTTCCACTTTAAATTTCCCGACATGCACTTCATTTTGTGGTCCATATATTTTTTTTTTTCTACATTCTGTGCATCGATTCTTTTCGATCTTTATAAAAAAATTATTAAGTTACACAAAATATTTGAATTTTGTACAAAAAACATTTTTTTTAATGAATTAAGATTATATTTATAACATTCTTAAACAGAATGTTTAGTTCCGGGCTATACTCGTACATAACATCAAAAAGTACATTTTTAATAGCCTGATTCCATTGGCGAATTAAAATGCATATAGTCAATAGCCCAGTCCCACAGAGCCCATACAAGCGAAACGGTTGTGATTTTTGATGGATGGTTCCCACCATTTATCAAAAGTCACTGTTGCGTATGCAGAATTTTTTGAACAGGGTCTTTAACTCTATCAAACTCTTTTAGAAATAATTTTTCCTGCTTTTGTTTTATTTTAATACTTTGGGTTATTGGTTAAATGGTTATCTGAACCTTTAAATTGCTGCCTGGGGGAGAGGTAACCTCCGACCCCCCCTTCTCTTGCGACTATGCCTCTGGTTATTTTTTAAAATAAATTTACATGTTTTGACTTGTAAATTTTGTTTTTAAAATTCAAAAAAAATTTTCCAGAGCCCTGGAAAGTGTTTTTTATAACACATGTAAAAATTGCAGTAGTAGTTTGGCGAGTGGGTTGATCAGAAATCAGAAAAATTGTATTCTTTAGATTCGTTGTTACGTCGACTATGTTTTCCCGAGATTTTTTTTATTTTCCATTTAGCAAGAGTTATGCAATAATAAGTTAAAAATTAAATATTAAGAAAAATCGATAATCGTACTTGGCCTAACATAGCGGTTTGTTTTGTGAACAATTGCAAAAAAAAATTATTAAAATCGGACTAGTTCTTTGACAAAAAGTCTTACTCAGCAGCTAAAAAACGCTTCTTTTGGGAAAACGCGTTTATAGGTAAATTAATTGCTTTATTTTTTTATAATTTTTAAGAAAATCGATTTTTTGAAACTGCGAGTCGGTTTCTAGAATTCTGGGGATCAGGATACGGATCTGGGATCGGGATTCAGAGATCGGAAAACAGATACGGATGTCAAAATACTTATTCTGCCCTTAGGTTCATACTGAAACCAGAAATCTATACAAAGTAAAAATTCTGATCCTAAGATCAGGATACGGCTTGAGAATAACACTGCCTTCAGCTGTCATAGGTGCTCATTGTACAAAAGCAGTCATTACAAAATTTTACTAATCGTTTTTTTTCATGTGCTTAAGTCTTAAAACCTTACCAATAAAACAATACCGCTTCTTTAATAACAATGTGTGAGGGCCAATTTTAATTATAATGGAGCTTTCTTTGGTATGGATAACAATTATGCAGCTCCAAGATACGGATGATGTTCAAAAATCCCAGATACTACCATTGACGTTCATATAGATAAGAAAAATGAATGTCGGTCAGCCTGTCCATTACAGCTTTCCTTATTGTACTACTGCACGTGTATCACACCTCTAACTAATCCAAATTACGGCATAAAATTTGAGATAAGTATAAACAGGGTTTATAGCGGCTTCTGTGATACGAAACTGGGGTGTGTTAAACACCATGTATCATCGTCGTGACATTGATTAGATAATGCAAATAACGCTCCGTTTATTTCCATTTAGGAAACTTCGTGAGGATGATTTGACCAAATCGTCCTAACAGTCCACAAGCAATACCATTTTTCATTATAGGCATGTTTTGCCATGACCTTAGCGGCTTTAGATGACGGTTATCTTTACGTTTGACAAACGTGATTCTTAATCTTTGTAGAAATGATGCTATATAAGAATGAAATACGATCCACGACGATCCGTTTCTCGGCAACGTTTCGTCAACAAAAGTTCCATAAGATTCGTTTCATCCATCAGCTGCGCAATGGAAAAGCCAAAAGGGGACGTTTCGCTTCATGACCAATCATTGAGTCTTCAAGAGGCGCCACTAATGGGACACAGAAAAGAGCATCAGGTAAGGACTTCGAATGTTTATGTTCTGAAAAATATCTCATTAGTCAATGTTTCCAGGAGGAGCAGCCCCAGTGGACGTGGTCCCTCAAATGGGCGGCAATCGGATCCTCGCTTGGAGCGGCCGTTCCAGTGGGATACTGCACGGGTGTGATGAACAGTCCCGCTGAGGTGAGTACCCTCCGATTCCGCCAGCGGCACTTAAGTTCCTCAGGAAGCCCCAATCATACCCTCAGCTCATGCGCTCCTGGTGCAACGAAACGCTTATTGCCCGCTACGATCTGTACCTGGGCGAGTCAAGCCTAGAGCTCCTGTGGTCGGCCCTCGTTTCCATATTCCTAGTGGGAGGCGCCATTGGTTCTGTGACGGGCGCCACTATGGCCAACCGTTTCGGACGTCGCGGCTGCTTCAACATCTGTGGCATCCTCCTGACGTTGGGCGCCATTTCTTTTTACGCCTGTCGACCCTTGGGCTCCGTGGAGCTCCTGCTGTTGGGTCGCTTGCTGGTTGGACTTGCGGGTGGTCTCCTCACGGCCTTCATGCCCATGTGGCACAGCGAGATATCGGCTCTCTCGCAGCGCAGCACATTGGCTCCGCTCTGTCCGATGGGTCTGACCCTCGGAGTGGTTGTGGCGCAGGTTTCCAGTCTACGCTCGGTGCTCGGAGGTCCCGAGAGCTGGCACTTCGGACTGGCCTTGTACGGCCTCCTGGTGGTGGCGTGTTACGCCCCCTTCAGGTGGTATCCCGAGAGTCCCAAGTGGCTATATGTCGTCAAGGGGCGCAAAGAGGAGGCCCGCCACCAGCTGCAGTTGCTGAGGGGCTACACGTCGGAGAGTTCCGCTCTGCAGGCAGAGATCGACGAAATGGAAATGGAGGCTGCTTCCAAGGTGGCGACAAGTGGATTGGTGGAGGTGCTGCGCGACCCTAAATTGCGCCTACCCCTGATCATCGTCTGTGCTTTTCTGGGTGGCCAGCAGCTATCGGGCATAAATGCAGTGCGTATTTGGTCACCCTCTTAACTTTCCAGCGAGTCATTTCAAATCCCGTCTTTGCCTACAGATCTTCTACTACTCGGTGTCCATCTTTCGCAAGGCGGGTCTGTCCGTCCAGGCGTCGGAGTGGGCCAATCTGGGTGCGGGGTCCCTCAATCTGGCCACCTCGATGCTGGGTCCCGTGTTGCTGGAACGAGTTAACCGGCGACCACTAATGCTTTTCTCCACCTTTTTCAGCGCGATCTTCCTGTTCTTGTTTGCCATGATGCTCTACTTCATTGTGAGTAGCAAAGGTGCAACTTATTCAAGAGGCAGAAAATTAACCTCTTCCCTTTTTAGGAGAGCTTTAGCTGGTTTGCCATGGGTTGCATTGGCTGCATCTTCCTGTACATATTCTTCTTTCAGTTTGGCCTGGGACCCATACCCTTCTTCATCGGAGCAGGTGCGTTGGTCTGTCTATTAATCGCGGTTTAATCGACCCTTTTTTCACTTTACAGAGCTGTTTGAACTTGCTTCCCGTCCTGCCGCCATGTCACTGGGAAGCGTTGTATACTGGCTGTGCAACTTTGTCATTGGCATGACCTTCCCGACGTTTCAGAACCTCTGGGGTGCCTTGGTCTTCCTGCCGTTTTCGGTCAACTGTCTACTGCTTTTTGTCCTGACAAAACGATACTTGCCGGAGACACGCGGTCGCGAGCCTTTCGAGGTGGCTCCACTTGTCGCCTCAGGCTTTAAATCAAACGTGTTGCTTAACAATCGAATGGCGAACCATTCGTAGACCGAGTTCAATAAATAACCAAACTACCATCTGGGTGGACAGAGATAGTTTTCTAGAGGAAATTTAATAAAAACTCAAGGTTAGGTGGACTGCACTGACACCTTAATGAGCAGAACAAACATAGAAAATGAGGGACTATTTCTTAAGTAATAAATTTATAGTTTTTTTTTTATGTGTTATATCGACCTACCCTCCCACATTGCAAAGAACTTTTTAAGCTAAAATTAAATGTTAGTAAATTCTTTATATTGTTTATAATTTTATAAACGAGGTTTACTGGCAGAGATAACTCTAGAGTGTGGGATATAATAAAGTCAATGAGAGAAGCAATCTGCACAAAGAGCTAATCCAGACAAGGTCTGTCCCCTTTAACTTGTTTATAATTATTTTACTAGTTTACCACTATTTTTCTTGTGGTTTATTATATTCTTTTAGAGGGTATTATATTTGGATGTATAAAATTCATACATTTTTAATCAGCATTAAGAGGACAGTCGAAATCCGTCGGTCTGTTTGTCTGTCAATTTAAAAGCTAAAACTTTCGTTAACGTCTCATTTTATGCACAGGCATAAAAATCGATCTAATTTTAATTACATAGCTTTATACTATTTACCCGCAAAGAGATAAAATCTGAAAAATTCTCGGAGTAATAATATTACTTATGTAACTATGTACACATTTAAGTATTCTCGAACCTCAACAAACGAATTACGGTCCGTTGTCCTTGACAATGACCCAAACGCCTTGGAGATCTAGTGTTCGTTGACCAAACAACCATTAGTAATCGATGTCTCAGACAACTATTTCAGTCCACTTTGAGAGTTCCAGTTGAGAGCATACGTTTTCTGAAATTGTTTAAGAATAAATCCTATTGTTTTCTTGAAAACTTTAAAACATACACGATGGCCTTCCATTCGGTGGTAACGATGGAGAAGCCGCTTCAGCACATCTCGCTGACGGACTGGTACGCCCGGGTGAACCAGATGCGCAATGTGGCGGATGCCCGTAGATCAGACGCATTCGCCATCCGCCATTCATCCAGATCGCTGAGGAACGAGACAAGGATCGAAGGCAACTGGGCCAACTACGAGACTAATGAAGCTTTGACCGATCGGTAAGCCTATAATTGTCACAACACAATCTTTTTGCTTAATCAAAGTATTAAATAATACTAAATACAAGTAAGTATAATTTTCGGCAAATCATTTTTAAAAGATTCATTCAATCAAGTGTGATTTTGAGATGGATTTATTTGTATTTATTAAAGCTTTTATTAAACTATTAAAGAGGCTGAATAAATTTAAATGTGCCAAAACTAACTGAAATTTTTCTTTAATACCAGTATCTCAGAATTAAATCGCTGGAGGGATATAATCTCAAAGTCCTTCGAGAGGATTGAGCGCGAAATATTATTGCTGCAGGACGAGAAGAATGCCACGGAACGGGAGCTGGAGGCACTGGCGGGTCCAATATCCGTTATAGCCGAATGCCTTACCATGAGGGATGGTCGTCTTGGTTCGGAGATCACCTACGACGAGGCCGATACGGAGATCAAGAACGAACTGGTTGTATTGGAGAACAACCAGAGGTTGCTGGCTGATCGCTGCCAGAAGGCCTGGGAAAAACTGAATCGGCTGGAGGAGGTGCGCTTCAAGATCGGCCTGGAAATCGAATTTAAAGTGGAGGCGGTGCAGCTAGACAACTCCCAGTTGGCTCTCGATCGCAACTCGGCGAATATCTCCTACAAGCCGGATCCCACCAGGAATCCTAAGAAGTAAGTTATAAGTGACTTCGTTAAGGGCTTTTTAATATTATTATAAAATAAATCACTCTTTTAGTTCCTGCTCCTACGAGACTTGGCTGGAGAACGTGAAGAACATAAAGCTGCTGGCGGAGAATGAGCTTGCCGATACGTACGCCATCCGGGAGGCTTTGTTCGTGTGCCGCGAGAAGGCGCGCAATATGCTTCAATCGCAGCAGGAGCGGGCGGAGCACACCATACGCAAGCGGATTTTCGAGACGCAGCGGGCCAGAAACGAAATGGAATGGCAGCAGCTCAAGATGAAGGAAGAAATGGAGAAGGCAGTGTGCGAGATCCGCACCTCGGAGAATGCATTACGCGACAAGACCGATGCCCTCAAACTGGCTGAAACGCGCCTGGAGAACCGGGCCCAGAGATCGGGAATGGAGCTGTGCATGGACCAGGCACACGACATGCTCTGCCTGGAGGTGGAGAAACTGCGCGAGATCCGACGCCGACTGCAGGTCAAGATCGACGAGAGCAAGACCAACTTCAATCTGCTGGAGGAGCACGGCAAGCGGATCGACGTGGATCTGGAGAACAAGCAACACTCACTGATGACGGACATCAGGGCTCTGGATCTTCGTATGCGGCTCAGAGGAGGAGAGTTCGGCTCGAAAGGGACCAGCTCCTCTCAGACGGACAGAAACATCACGCTCACACGCATGGAGAACGAGATTCCCAAAGATTAGACAGCTTTTAAAAACCTCCAATCATTCAATGCATTTACCCTGACGTTGCTCGTTGAAGTTTTGTCCAAAATTTTTGTGAATAAATGCTAAAATTCCAACAACAGTGTGTTAAAGCTTCTTCTGGCTAAAACTGAAATTCAGTTCACCCAGCAGTGGTTTGAAATCCGTGCTCCACTCGACATGGGTGACGGCTTCTTTGCTTTTCCTCGGAAAGTGCACTCCCTGTCGCACGAACATGTCCCACTTAACAAAGGCACCGGGAATGACGGGTTCACTGGGACCACTGCTCACAGTGGATTTGGGACTGCTGTCATCTACCAATTGCCAGTCCACCCATAAAGCCACTCCATTGCAGGTTCCGGGACTGTGAAAACGACGGAGATTGTTATTGTGTCCAGTATTTGTTTCTAGATTTTACTCACTGCTTCAGTTCTATGCTTCCTTTCAGGCTATGCTCGTTACTAAAGTTGCTAAACTCCACATTGAGCACTTCCTGGGGTTCAGAAAGCGCGCGGCAGGGGTATTCCCATAGAGGCTGGGCCTCCACCAGGGACACTGCCTGCTCTGCAGATCTCTGTGATGGAAAACATTATTATTCGATTCGATAAAATCATAAATACTGACATACCTCAACCATTTGATCAAACAAACGCAGATCGAAACCCTCGCAGCTGCCAACGGGGGCTCGTATCTTGTGCAGGTCCAGAAACTCCATTGGCAGGGCATAAATCTTCGCCGAACATGGCGAAATCTGCACGCTCTCCGGCAGCCTGTCCTTGATTTTCATGAGCAAGGTGCCAAAGTAAAAGTTGTCCCACGGCAGGATCGCATTAAGGAAGTAGGGCTCCGCGAAGATGTGAGTTAGGGCAGCCAGCTGGGAGTTTTCAAGTTCCTCCACTTTTTCAACAAACTGCACGTTCTTTAGCTTGTTGTGCTGTACAATCGACTCAAGCAATCTGCGAGAGAAGCGATGTGGTTCGTGGAGTTGCACAGAGGCAGCTCCCAGAGCAGAACTCGCCAGGCCCAGCAGACAGCCGTTTCCCAGGACCAATACATTTGATTTCCCCGCCTCAATGTACTCCTCCAGGTACCGCAGGTAGCGTTTGTTTCGAGGGGCCTGGTTAATCTGGCCAATCCTGCTGCGCGAGTAGGTCATATGCAGGTCACAGGAGCAGGTATGACGGCTCACACTTTTCGTGGGCGCCTCTTCGCGAGCATCGAACCAAAGGGAGTACTCGTCGTGATGGCAACTCAGGTGGAAGGTCTTACCTGCCTCGAGCAGTTGCAAGGGCTTAGGTATGTAGTAGATGGCCTGCATCCAATGATCCCGCCAGGGCACCACATTGGGTAGCGGGTGATCCTTTCCCTTCTCGGCTGCCAGCTCTTTGAGTTCGGGATGCGCCCAGTAAGGGGCACAGCTGAGCAGTATCTCCCCACCATCATCCAGCTGGATATCCCACCAGTAGAAGACCAGCTCAGCGGCACCAGGTTGCTTAGACTGCAGTTTTAGCAGTTGCTGCCGCTGCTTCTCACGTTCCTGTTTGCGCTGAAAATCGAACTGGAAGATCTCCACGGGATCGGTGAGTGGACGGAAGGCGGAGCTGGGCAGCTGCGACAACTGGACGTCGTGCAGACCGGCCTCTCCTTGGCAGCCTTTGAGCTGTTCTGGCGGCTGCAGCAGAGGTTCACCGTCCAAGTTGGCCAGGGTTTTCAGGCTGTTCCACTGCGCAGCTAGCGGGGATTGGGCCACCTGGGCGTAGCATCTGGCGCGAGCGGGAATACAGAGAGCATCCTCGGTGAGCAGCTCGGCATGGGCATGGTTGTAGATTCCGATGGCGCCCTCTCCTATCAGTTCCGTGTCCAGCAGCTCGGCCACCAGTAGATTGGCCTTTTGCGGCATATCACCGCCCACTTGGATGTCAGTGGACCGCTTTCGAATGAGACGCACCTTGTCGCCAACTCCATTGGCGGCCAGGATCTTCTCCGCACAGTTGGCCATGGGCAGGAATGCCTCGCAGGCGGTCACCGAATCCGCACCCGCCTCCAGGGCCATCATGGAGAGGATCCCTGTACCGGTGCCGATGTCCAGGACGTGCACCTCTCTGCCCGCCGCACGCATTCCGCCGATGGTCTTCTTTAGAGCTGCGAAGTACTTCTGATTGCGCTCCCAGTCGTGCAGCATATCGCCGAAACCCGCGTTGGCCACCTCCAGGTGGTAATCGTAGTCATCTCCGCGCTCCTGCCAGGAGTTCTCGCCCGTTATCGGGTTTATCACTTGCGAAAAGCAGGACATTGTACGTGGGGCCAGCAAGCGTGACTTTAACCAATTCCTCAACATAAAAAACCGGCAAAATAAATATCTCCCACAGTGATGTCAATACGATGTTGAATAGAGATGCTAAATTGACCAAATCAGCTAAAAATTGCTAAAAGCTATAGCTAAAAAAAATCTGGTTGTGCTTATTTGTAAATAAAACCAATTGAAAATAATGCAAAATATCTTTAAAAATACTTAAAATTCTTATAACGGCTAAATGAGTAATAGCCTGATTCCATTGCCGCATTAAAACGCATTTAGCCAAATGCGCATTTATTTACACAGGGAATCCCATAAGGCTAAATGCCGCATTTAAAATAAATGCGATTTTTAAATGCGATTAAAAACCATTCGCCCCGAAAGTTTTCAGAAAAAATACTGGAAAATACCGATGTTTAACGATATTTTGTTCGTGCCACCACTACAACAGCTGTTTTTTATAAGCAAGGTTGGCGCAATTTTTGATTTTTTTTTAATATAAAATCTATTCCGTATAAAAATGACTGAAACCTAGAGCGCACGCTGCAAATTCTGCTCGCAGTACCACAATGCATTACTGCTGGATCTCTGGAATAAAATTACTCCCACATATACGGGGATCCTTGCCTTTTTTAGAAACTGTGGTGGCCTTCATTGCAAACCCGTCATAACAACGCAATCAGCTTCTCTTCTTTGTCGTTCAAGTTGGCAAATGTCTCGGTCGCAATATGAATGTCCTGCTGAGCATTACAGAGTTTAGTAAACTCACTCATGTTCATTAATTTTAATTAATTTCTTTTGGATTTGCCAAAATTCAAAAGTAAACAAGCCCAGATCAGCTGTTCGTGCCACTCACATGTCGGAGTAGCATTAACTAAATGCTAATGCGCCAATGGAATCAGGCACATTTAAAAAGTCCACTAATGCGGCAATGGAATCAGGCTATAAGAGAAATCATTTACTATAAAAAATATATCGAATATCCACATCAGTTTCCATCATTGATATTAAAGCTAAATCTGGCGAGAAACAAGTTAGATTGACGGAATGGTTGCCACTCTAGCAGAAAACCTTGCCATCTGGCAGCTCTTTGCTTCCATGACAATATATCGGAAAGCCCACCATAAATCGATAATTTCAGTTTAATGCGCCAAAAAAGCCGCGTTTATTTTTGCTGCGTTTTTGTATAGTTTTATTAAAACATCACATCTTAGTGCTAATTGCATATGCGTATATGTCAAACAATATGTATTTTACATTAGAACTGCTGATCAAGCCGCCGTTTGACGCCGGACAACATTTTTGCACGATGACGCAGTTGCAGGTGTCTCAATCCACAATTTCTGGCCAAAGGAGTCTCACTTTCGCACCTTTTGCTTTTCCTGATGACAACTTTATAACTTTGAGGATTGCCTGCGAAATCTTCCTTAGGAACAGTCGAATTGTTGAACATGTACTCCACCAGAGAGAATCCCAGGACAATGAGGATCAGACAGGCGGGATCGACTTGGAGAAACAGAGATAGAGGACCTTCCATATTGGCGTGTGCTGACTTCTTGCACTGTCGGTTGCGAATGATTTAAAGGTCCCGTTGACCCATCTATTTATACACAAGTCAGGTAAGATTAAAGCCCTAATTTAATGGATCATCTTAGCAAGTACCTGAGATGGGGCCGAAAAATCAAAAAGGGGTACCCATGTAAACAAAGCCATAAATGTAATCCTGTTGTTTTTGTGGAGTTTTGATTAAACAGCAATTAAAGAAATTTTCAAGCCTTTGCAAACATGTCTTTGCGTGTGTTATTACACAGAAAAAGGTACATTTTAAGAGGTCTACCGGCTGAGTTAACTGTAAAACCATGCCAGACATTTATTTCATACGCCCAAAAAGTTTTCATAAAAACTAAACTATTGTTACTTGAATTTTAAATTTGTTTAAAAATAAAACCATAGACTATAAAATGAAATATATAGGTTATGTTTTTTAGTATTGAATTAAACTAAACTTTCACTTTTTTAACGGACAATAGATCAGAATAAAAATGTAAAAATTTCATCTACTTCATATATATGTACATACATTTTATCGGTATTGAAATTCTAAGAAAGATAGTTTTAATGAGCAAACGTTCGTAATTGACAAGTGCACATTTGATATTTGGCGATAGATTACACATTTCCCACACAACCTATAGAAGTGAAAACTGCAGCGGTTAGTTTAGGTTAGTCTCTCTTGGAATGCGGTTCCTCAGAGGCAGGAAAATGGAGAAAGTGGTAGAGTTGTACCACGGATACGCTCTGCTTGTTGGCATGACGTCCTATCGAGTGGTTAATGGGCAATTCCAGCAAACGAAACTAACTCAGGCGTATGCCCTAGCAATGAATATATTTATCATTGCCATACTGCCACCAGTTCTTTGGGGCATAGCAAAGGGAATGATGTTGCAAACCTGGCTACCGGAAATTATGTTTATAACTCCATTTATACTTTATTCGGTAAACTATGCGGTTATAGTGTATATTCTAACCACGCGTTGCTATCGGGACAGTATGTTTCTGGATTTACAAGTGTTAGCCAATCAATTAAGCCGAGAAATGAAGCGAGCTGGAAAGAAAACAAACTTTAAGCTGAAAAGTCAGCTGTATATGAAATCTTTTACACTCGCATATTTGTGCCTTGGCTCCGTGGGAACACTTTTCTTTATAAAATCGGGATATTTTGAATCGCTTTTAGTTAGCATTGGCTACAGCATCCTAAACGCCACAACATACTTTTACTTCACCTCATTCTGGCAAATCGTCAGAGGCTTTGATTTTGTTAATCAAGAAATAAACGAGCTCATCACGATAAGAGCAGGATTTTATACACAAAAAAACTCGGGGGACGTTCATGGATTGTGGTCTCTTCATTGGACTCTTAACCGGATGGCTAACAGAATAAACAGGGTATATGGAGTCCAGATGCTGGCCTCGCGCATCGATTACGTTATATTCAGCATTATCTATGCTTACGTAGGTATGATTTACCTGCATCAAGGAATGAATCTTTTTAAATGGCATGCGACTTTAATGTATCTGTTTCGAACTTGGGACTTCTTTCTCAATGATTTCATATGTGATTTAACCTCCCGTCATCAGTGCCATCCGAAACACCAAACTATCGAAGGAATCATGACCCAGGAGGTAGTTGAGTGCCTAGATAATATGAATTTGTCCTAAATTATTGGTTACAATTACAGCTAAGTGCGTATTTGATCTATGAGAGCAGCACCAGGCTCAATTTGAAGGTATTTGGACTCTATCCGGCCAACAAAAATCAATGGCTTGGAATGATGGGATTTATTATTTGCCACTCCATATTAATGCTTCAGTTTCTGTTGATGTTGAGCGTTTGATGATATAACTTAATAAACTTCAAAAAAAATAGTTTTAATACAATAGTGTATATTTAATTTAGAAATTTTTACTGTCAATTGAATCTTTACATGATTTACTAGACAGTGTTCCAGAATAAATTCTTAACGATTTTAAATCTGAATTGACATCGAGATATCAGTGCTTCGAAAAACCTAGTTATCAAAGGACATTATCCAACCAAAAAAATTTATTTTAGATTGTTGTATTACATATACAAATTTAATTTAACTTTCTATGCTTTAAATAAAAAAGCTTTAACCATTTTGTGCTCCTACGTAATGTGTACGAATTGGTCTGAAAAGGGTTACAGATATTTTCAACTAATTAAATGATATGGAGACGCCACTGCTATTGCAATTACCGTTGATTTCGATCGGCCAGCGCAACAACGCTTTCCCTAATGACATACGACCCAAAAGAAGATTCTTCGGCCTTAGTTCCTGCTCGAATCTCTTAGAAGGCAGTTCATTCGGGAAAACGACAATGAGGTTGATAGTTCAGATTTTAAACACATACGGCTTTATCATGGGCATGACCTCATACCTTACGATTGAAGGAGGATTCAGGCAAACAAGGATTACGCAGACATACGCCGTGGTTGTCAATGCCATCACCTTGATTTTGCTCCCAATCGGATTTTTGAAATCGGCCCAGTTAATGACAATGGCCCAATGGCTGCCGTCCTACATGTGGATAACTCCCTACGTCCTGTTTTCAATCAATTACGCTGTAATTGCGTACACCCTGATTTCGAGATGCTTTAGGGACGCCATGCTGATGGACCTACAGTTCGTAATAATACAAATAAATCGGGAGATGACGCGTACGGGAAAGCGTTTGAACTCGAAGCTGCGTCAATTGTTTTTAGTGAAAACCTTTACCTTGAGTTACTTGTGTTTGTCGTATTTCCTGGGAATTATCGTTTACCAATCCCTATTTAAATTGCCTTGGTCGGAGGCATGGATTGGATTTCTGGTTAACCTTTTCTTAAGCATCCTGATTCTCGTCACTTACTTCTATTTTATTTCGTTTTGGCAAATTGCCAGAGGCTTTGATTTCGTTAATGAGCGCTTTAAAGAGGTGATCTCAGACCAGTCCATCGGTTCGAAATCACAAGCTGAAGAAATCCGCAGTCTTTGGGCTCTGCATGCAACCTTAAGTCGGACAGCCCTAGAGATAAATAGGCACTATGGCCCGCAGATGCTTGCCTCACGTTTCGATTATTTTATTTTCTCCATTATCTACGGATATATAGGGACGGTCTCCATGAATTATGACCAAACCACTTCCATGGAAAAGTTTTACGGAGCTCTTCTTTATTGGACTCGAAGCGTAGACTTTTTTATGAACGACTATATATGCGATTTGGTTACTGAATATCAAAGCCAACCTAAGTACTTTGCCTCCAAAGGCACTATGTCTAATGAGGTGAATAATTACAAAGTGTTCAGTTCAAAACTTCATTCCTAAAGTCTGCTTAAACATTTCAGCTGAGTTCTTTCTTAATCTATGACAGCAGCACCAGACTGGAATTGATGGTTTGTGGACTCTATCCGGCCAATAGAAACAGATGGCTGCAAATGGTAGCTTCTATTGTAGTTTATTCCATAACGCTGCTTCAGTTTCATCTGGTTATGCGCAACAAATAAATGGCTCAAAGGTCAATTTGATTTATAATTTATAAACAATATGAAAGCGGAAAATAAATACTTCTCGTGTTGGTAAAAGCCCTCTTATTATTATCAAATAAAAGTCAAATTAAATCCATATTGTAACACATTTTAATGTTGGCTTTTGATGTGCACCTGCACTTTGACCTGGAGATGTCGTGGTAAAAGATGTGGGTGAATTTTCAGCGCCTAAAACGAGCTTATAGCTTTGTAGAAATTTATGTTTTCAGACATTTTCAATGGACTTTTGTACTCGGGTCTTCACTGCGTTAAAATCGCCTTCAGGATTAAAGAAAGTGATGATGGTATAGTTTCCGGTTTTTAAAGAGATGAGTTAATTTCTCCATATGCTAAATATTTCATGGGCTTCTTAAACTGGATGCGCTATGTGGCTCTTTTCCAAAACGATTACATTCTCAAAAAGAAAGAAACCGAGGGCAATTTAAAAAAAAATGATTTAACAGCTACGTTATTAACAACTGAGAGCTTATATTATCTATTATTATTATTATTATTATCTACGAGCTTGAAACTAAATTGGAAGTTGTGCGGACTTTACATGGATTTGCCATGTATTACACCTCTATTCCTATTACAAATGTCTTTCTATATTAACCTTGCCACAGTTTTCTCTGAATTGAAATAATTAACTAGCTTATCGGTAGGTATTTGAATAGAATCCATCTTCCTTTGAATATAATCCTTGTTTAATTAAGTTAATGTTAATTTTGTGTCCCGTAATCTGCATCTTTAGTTCAGTCTATCGAGATGAGCACTTTACTTTATTGGGAAAGTAAATGACTTCAGTTGAGCCTTCAAACTGGTTGACAATAGACGTGGTCATGGTTTTTCCGTTGGTGAAAATATTTTTCGGCTATTCGCTGGCAATTGGAATTACTTCGCAACGACTGCTCAACAAAAGGTTCCGGAGTTCTCCATTTTTCCGGGCTTATGCATTGGTTGCCAATATCGTTACGGTTACCCTGTTGCCCATAGTTATGTGGAGGATTCGTTTGGTTTTTCAATCGAAAAAGAACTTTCCATATCTCATTTTGATTACCTATAACGTTAGGTATTTGGTGTCCTATTTGGTCATACTGTATACGGTTCTATCGCGAGGATTTCGTGATACAGCGTTTAAGGAAATGCAACCATTGTTGCTAAAATTACGTCAGAAGGAGGAGCAATGTGGAAAAGTACGAGAAACACGGCGATCGTTAATGGTATTAATTTATGTAAAGTTCTTCACCGTGTTCTGGATGTGCATCACCGAAACGGCTTTCCTTTTTTATTCAAACGACACTATTAACTGGATCAACATAGCCACTTTTATATTTTTGACAAATGCTGTAAATATTCTGGAAATGGTGCCAATGAGTTATTTTCTAGCTATGTGGCACATTGCGCGAGGCTTTGATTATGTCAATCAACGTTTGGATGAAATAGTAACATCAAAATCGTCAACAAAACTGAAGGAGCTGAAAGATCTCTGGTTACTTCATGCATGTCTAACAAAGACAACGCATAATATAAACAAGATCTTTGGTCCTCAGATGTTAGCCTCCCGATTCAATTACTTTATAATTGGTGTAATCCAAGGTTATTGGGGAGCGTTCTTCGCCTTTGACGAGTCTACACCCGTGTATTGGATTGTATACGGTTCTGTTGGATATCAAGTTCGTACACTGGACAATTATCTCATCGACCACATGGTCGATTTGGTGGTGGAGTATCAGAGCTCGGCTAAGCACGCTTGGAGTGAAAGGCGCTGGACAAAAGAGGTATTAGAACTAAAATGGTTTACCATAAATATTCTGATTAAATTACCAACTATGTAGATAAGTGGATATGTGACTTACGCCAACAGTTCGAAGCTACAACTGTGGACTTGTGGACTTTTTCAACCAAATCGAAGTCTTTGGTTTGACATGATGAGCAGTGTATTTTATTATATGTTAATGCTGTTGCAGTTTCATCTAGTTATGGGGAAATAATTTTAATAACTTTTTGTTTAACTGCCTGTGTAAAAGTTTTTGTATAAAAGTTTAATTTATTGTTTGTAAACCGAAATTTGAAACCATAGAGTAGGGACACACTCTCTCGAGTGACATTTCCAGTGATGCCACCTAGACTAAAAAAGGGGAAAATTTCAGTCTCTCACGGTTCGATTCGAACTTTTAATTCGGTCCCGCGGTGAGGTTCTGCATCTGAACTGCTCGCTCCCATTGCTAAGGTCTGGTGCGAGCAGTGCAGTTGCAAGTTCGCTGCGGGACCGAATTGCAAGTTCGATCCAAAAACTGAAAAGTGGGGTGGGAAATCAAGGTTAGCTTCGAACATGGCTCTCAGCAGAGCTTGGGCCGAGGTCCGGGCAGAGCAAATGGTGCCTCTATATATTTCTTACTCTATGAAACGATTACATTCTCAAAAAAAAAGTCATCGAGGTCAAATTTTTTAAAAAATTGGATCGACAGCTACGTTATTAACAACTGAGTGCTTATATTATCTACGATCTTGAAACTGAATTGGAAGTTGTGTGAACTCTACATGACTAATCAATCCACCTTCAATTCTATTACAAATGGCATTCTATATGACCCCACATTTACAGTTTTCTCTGAATTTAAATAATTAACTAGCTTATCGGTTGGTATTTGAATAGAATCCATCTTCCTTTGAATAGAATCCTTGTTTAATTAAGTTAATGCTAACTTTGTGACACTATCTTTTCTGCATCTATAGTTTACATTCTATCGATATGAGCACTTTACTTTATTGGGAAAGTAAATGACTTCAGTTGAGCCTTCAAACTGGTTGACAATAGACGTGGTCATGGTTTTTCCGTTGATGAAAATATTTTTCGGCTATTCGCTGGCAATTGGAATTACTTCGCAACGACTGCTCAACCAGAGGTTCCGGAGTTCTCCATTTTGCCGGGCTTATGCATTGGTTGCCAATATCGTTACGATTACCCTGTTGCCCATAGTTATGTGGAGGATTCGTTTGGTTTTTCAATCGAAACAGAACTTTCCATATCTTGTTTTAATTACCTATAACGTTAGGTATTTGGTGTCCTATTTGGTCATACTGTATACGGTTCTATCGCGAGGATTTCGTGATACAGCGTTTAAGGAAATGCAACCATTGTTGCTAAAATTACGTCAGAGGGAGGAGCAATGTGGAAAAGTACAAGCAACACGGCGATCGTTAATGGTTTTAATTTATGTAAAGTTCTTCACCGTGTTCTGGATGTGCATCACCGAAACCGCTTCCTTTTTTTATTCGATCGACACTTTTAACTGGACCAACGTAGCCACATTTATATTCTTGACAAATGCTGCAAATATTCTGGAAATGGTGCCAATGAGTTATTTTCTAGCTTTGTGGCACATTGCTCGAGGCTTTGATTATGTCAATCAACGCTTGGATGAAATAGTAACATCAAAATCGTCAACAGAACTGAAGGAGCTGAAAGATCTCTGGTTACTTCATGCATGTCTAACAAAAACAACGCATAATATAAACAAGATCTTTGGCCCTCAGATGTTAGCCTCCCGATTCAATTACTTTATAATTGGTATAATCCGAGGTTATTGGGGAGCCTTCTTCGCCTTTAACGAGTCTACACCCGTGTATTGGATGGTATACGGTTCTGTTGGATATCAAGTTCGTACATTGGACAATTATCTCATTGACCACATGGTCGATTTGGTGGTGGAGTATCAGAGCTCGGCTAAGCACGCTTGGAGTGAAAGGCGCTGGACAAAAGAGGTATTAGAACTAAAATGGTTTACCATAAATATTCTGATTAAATTACCAACTATGTAGATAAGTGGATATGTGACCTACGCCAACAGTTCGAAGCTACAACTGTGGACTTGTGGACTTTTTCAACCAAATCGAAGTCTTTGGTTTGACATGATTAGCAGTGTATTTTATTATATGTTAATGCTGTTGCAGTTTCATCTAGTTATGGGGAATAGATTTTATTAATTTGTTGTACAACCACCTGTATAAAAGTTTTTGCATAAAAGTTTACTTTATTGTTTGTAAAACGAAATTTGAAACTGTTATATTTGCTATTAAAATGTCTTTGTGATAAATTTTCTATGTTTGTATTGTTAAGCGTGATTGATTTGCAATAATCTGCCAATCACATGTCCCCAAACTATTGTGATTCCGCAATCATTTTATGCCAAGAAATAATTTAAGGATTGTGAATGCCCACGTTTGAACCGCTTACGGGCAACAATGTGAGCAATATGGCAACAAAGGCGTTCTGTTCTGCAGGAGCCAATAATTTCCTATTCGATAATTTCCAAATGAATGCGTTCAGCAAATAAATTCAGCTTTGACAGCACTCGCAGTTGAAATTTAAAACGAAATCACGTTTTGCTGTTGCATACTTTTTGGCGTATGCACATCTGCTCTACGTAGTACGTGATGAAAGTTGTGTCATAAACACACGCACACTCTTTCACACACTTTTACACTGGCACAACTTAGTCGGGGAAAAACTGGGAATGGCAGCAGGTGAAATGGGCGAAAGTCGAGAGTTTAGGGAGGCATAAATAAAATGAAATAAAATAAATCAAAGCATAATTTTCGCAATAAATTCGTTTCTACCCAGCGCTGAATTCAAATCTAATTCCTTTTGCCAGGCAAAACGTGTATCAAAGTTTTGCACTATTCTATTTGCGGTTTCTGGAATTTATAGCCTGCTTCTTTTTCAATCGGCTTAAAAGCAAATCCTATTTGAATATACCAATTTAATTCAAACTTAAATGACCAGTTTAGTATGCATTACAATTTATATTTTCATTGTGCTAGTTTTTTTTTTTAACTTTTATAACGGATTTACATTTAGAACTTTTCAAACTAAACCCTTTTTAAGTGGTTTCAAAAATTGTATTTGTATTTATAAAGAGCTGAGACTTTTTGTTATTTCAATGCGATTAGTTTAAAACAATACTTAATGCTATAATAAATAAATACATTTTTTAGAATATATTTAGAAAAGAAAGTGTGTGGGACCAGTTCGGTCCCATAAGTTTAATCTTTTATATTAAACTGGAATGACGGTGTTTTAAAATAATTTACTACTCTAAAATGAGATGATTTCTGGCGGCAATTGGTTCTGTTAATATATATTAACATCATTTGAATTCGCATCGAGGCACGTCAACACAATTATGTTGGATAACAAGAGCCAAGATTTATTATCCTCGGATCGAGAAGCAAACATATATGAGCACGTAACGGATGCGACGGCTGTACGCCCATTGCCGTTGGGTAGGTGGGCGTGCCCGTCGCTTGGCAATTGTCAAAATCGTCGCCATAACTCACGTGTTGCCAGCAACAGAAACAAACGCATGTGGATCGAGGGGAATTCATGCAGGAGCAAAAGGAACAGCGGCACCGGGCATCGACAATTTGAATTGAAGCTGATTTGCTCAAAATGCAAATTACGCAATGATTTACATTCCGATTGACATATTTTAGGCGAACAGTTTGCACTTTACCCCTTCCCGAAAACCTTGGATCCGCCCTATCCGTGTTGCTGAAAAGAATCCTTGATTTGGTATTCCCATTGCCATCGCCAGACCATTGTAAATTGGCTGGGATTAGACAGTTGTTTGATTTTGGCCGACAAATCATTTCAATCGCTTATAAGTCTTCAAATAAAACATGTTTTTTATTGCGCTGAAGGGGATTTTGGAAGCAGGCAAAAATATTTTAGTCTTGATCTATCATTTTAAAACATTTTCATATCAGCATTTTCTTCAAACAATTTAAATAATGCATAAAGGAAGAACAAATCTTTAAGTGTGAGAAAATAAAGCAGTGATGTGCATTGTAGTGCCCCAAAATATTTCCGTTTTTATATTATACAGAATATTAAATGAGGAAACCCACAATATTATCATAGATAGTGCAATAAAAATCGTATTTATATGAACCATCCAACCATGTCATTACTCACACAACTGAGGGACACATATCCTGGTCAAGTCTGCTGGTCATCATTATTCTGGCTTTGCCCGGAGCACCGTTTTCTCCTTTTGGCCGCAGCAACGGTCATCATAAAATTGCTGAGAGGACATAAACGCGTTATTATATTATGCCTTTGAATGCCCATGACTTGCAGGCTTCGTTGAATAGAGGCCATGGAGGATGCAGAATGCACGGGGCATTGTGCAGTGGCCACACGACACAGAGGACATACACGACACACAGCACACTCAGGACACAGAGGACACAATGGATGAACATCAATGCCAGAGCCGCGACATTGAATGGCCAGTGGCAGGAGCAAAAGCTGAAGAGAAGGACCAACCTCGCGTCTATCAACGCAACTTTGAGTCAACGTCAACAGGCAAAGAAGCTATTCGGCTTAACTTGCATTCCCTGTTGCCTTTCTGCCGCAGGCCATAAATTTTAAAAATAACAATATGGGGAAATGTCCTCCGGATGTGTGCTGTTTGCGACCAAAAGTCAGAGCTGAGCTGAGAAGGTCGGCTAAAGACTGCTCAAGATGGCAGGCAAAAGTTTTTAATGATGCCGCAAAGTCGTTGAACCAAGTTCGATGCACATTCAGTGGATTTGACCTGACTTTGGCATCCTTGGAGGCGAGGACCAGAGCTTCTGCATTGATTTACTTGGCAGTCGGGCAAATAAAAGCCACAGCTGTGGCGAATCGAAAATTTTGCCCAAGTGAAAGTTATTTTTGGGCTGCAAAGTTTTTGCCCCCTCTTCCGAAAATGTTTGAATTTTCGTTGCACCAGTAAAATATCATGCACACTTTGACCTCTATGAAGAGAATTTCAGTAAATATTAAAAAACAAGATTTAATATGAGGCTTGTGGACATCAAATATTGATGGTTTCTTTTTCAGAGGTTAAAAAGCGTTACAAAAGGAAATGTCTTCTTTTAAATAAAACATTTAAGCAAACGATAAGCTGTTTCGAACTATGATTCTCAAATATGTCTTCGAATTTGAGTATCATCAACACTAGGCACAAATGCCACAAATACAACACCACAACTTTTGGAGTCACAAGAATATTGAATTTGGTTTATTAATTTTAAATATTAAAAGGAATACATATGTTTCTACAGGGCTTTATCCGTAATAGTTGCCGCCGAAGCCTCCGGCAGAGGCCGAGGAGGATGCCGAGGCACTGGCGCCGCCGAATCCGCGGTTGTAGCCGCCTCCGAAGCCGGGATATCCGCCTCCGTATCCGCCGGGATAACCGCCGTAGCCGCCATAACCGCCATAGCCGCCAGGATATCCGCCACCGAATCCACCGTATCCAAACTGGGGAGCGGGCACAGCCTCCAAGGCACTGAGGAGTGCGAAAATCACAACGACGAACACGACGGCAGCTCGCATTTTGGTTGGCTTGTTTACTTTAGATCTTTCCGTTTGAGACTGTTGATCGATTTCGATTCGGCGGGCCTATTATATAAGTAGAAACGCTTGGTTCAACAACCTGCTCGTCTGGTTCTGGAGGCGTCACCTGTTAGCGCGCCAGTTCCATTCTCTCCAATTAATCGATCCCATCGAAAATGACACAATTTGCAGAGCGAGAAGCGGGGGAAACCGCATCAAAAACAAAATTTTGACAACCATACCCTCGGGATACCAGTTTTGGAGTTTGGGGTTAACCTTTACGTAAAACTTACGCGTTTATTGTGGGATTTTGGGAATCACTCGGGCTGAGCTCTGCCGCTCGCACATTAGCATAAAATAAAATACAAACAAAAATTTGTATAATAATAGGTATGAAATTTCGCCGGACTTTGTTTTTCGGCTATCACATTCGCTTAGTCACACACACTTTGTTTATCATTTAATATACATTATGCTAATCAAGACTGTCATTAATGGGTTTTCTATTCGAGTTGCTGGTTTTGGCTATTGGACATTAATATCGCTATAAAAAAAATTGTTTTCACCTTATTTTTATTGTTTGTTTCATTTGTAATTTAATATGTTGGCCTAAGGCCGTATTTAAATGAGAACCTTACTATTTGAAGTTCTATGTCCTACCGTTTTGAACCAAACTAATCTGTCAATTTGAACTTTAAGAATAGACTGTTTTCTATACCACATTAGGTACATAAGTTGTGATCGGACGTCTATATTATATAAAACAACAAAAATAATGTACAAATTTTAATTGAATAATAATTGTAAACTTCAGAAATTTAAGATTTAAGATTTTAAAACTTTATTAGGTGACTTCTCATATAAATGCTTTATTTAATGGAAAATCTACATAACTTCATTGTTTCAAAACATACGTATAAAAAATGGTTGTTTTTAAAGAATTCTATATTTTTGTTATGACTATGAGGGCATATAAACTTTGGCTTGATATATTTTTTTTTTGTTCCTACTTCAAACTACATCTGACTTTCATCGGTACTTTAAAATCTAATAAAATAAATATATATCAATTGAAATAACCCGTGTTTTGTAGTTGTTAAACATGTTGTTCACTGTTTTTCAGAAAACCTGCGTACTTTCGATATTTTTATAATAGATCTGGCTATGTCAATAACCTAATCTTGGTTGGAAATAAATGTTTGTCATAAAATTTTGTAAACACATGATTGTTTCGACTTCTGATTCCATCTGGACTTCAATCCGGTTCTGAAGATCAATTCAAGACCGACTTCTGTTATTCTTGCTAGCAGGTCACATTGCTGTGAATCACAAATTCATAAATTAAACTAAAACAAGACAGCATAAACAAGACTGAAAAGTTGTTCAAAATTTCTGTTGCAAACGCGCCGCGAGAAATGCCAGGTATCAATGAGTTTCAAAAGCTTTGTAAGTCGATGTTCACAGATTCCATGAGAATCGTCTGCTCGGCCACAGTACCGGAAACCCTGAGCCAGAAGTATCACAATCGGCTGATTAGGGCCGAGGACCCCTACACAATCTTCCAGATGAAAAGTCAAAACAGCAGTTATCTGCTAGTCTTTAGTTTCCTGGAAATCAACAGGTGCCATACCATCCAGCTCAACGATCTGTACGCCGTCAGTTGCCAAAATGAGTGGAACGAAACGAAGACTTGGTATTTCGGCTTTAGCCACCGCATGTGCTACAACTATCCGATGAATCTGACGACGGAACTTCGGGAACACTGTGGCGCCAAGGGCTATGACGAGGACGAGCAGTCGGGTTACTATTATACCAATCATGACCTGGACGCAGATATTAGCCTACAAGGAAATGCCGACCGTTTGCTGGCATCCCCATTGCTTGTACTTTGGCTCATAGCATCACTCTTAGTGTTCGCCATTCTGCGATGGAAGGCAGGCTGATTGTAAGGATGGTTGGTTGTAGTCGCTCAGTTATTCGAGAGTTTCGAGTCACACAAGTTCTTTCCCTTTCGAAAATTATAAATCTAACATGAGCCGGTTTTCTTCGATCTCTGCTCACTTCAAACGAATAACCGAAGTCTTGTAGACATTGACCTGTGCCGGCGAATATCCCAGCGATGTGAAAATCCGTTTCGGTGGCCATCTATCGTTGCCCGGTGATCCTTACGCCGTTTTCAGGCCGAGCGAAGATGATTCCAGGGATCTAATGGTCATAACTGGCAGTGAGGAAGTGAAATCCTGCATATCGCTAAAGGTGATCGGAATGAACGAGTTTAAGTGCATGAGAGGCAACAATTCGTCGAGCATTGCTTATACAAGTCCCAGTTATTTGGTCTGCTTGGACTACTTTTTGCGCATGGCGCGTGAACTGGAGATGGAAGAAGAAAGCCTTCACGGTGCTGTATTTTGCAAACGTCGAAACCCGTTTGCAAATGATAAAAACAGCAAACGACGAAGCTATCACAAAGGGTTCCACTATGATTATACTAATCCTTTCGGCAGTTTTGGCGATATTTCTCGCTCTACGGTGGTCTTAGTCATAATTGAACATCTCTTAAATTGGTCAGATCGTTCTGACAGCCTTCACATGTGCTGTAAAATCTCACTGTTTCAAAATTGATTCAAACTATTTCCAAGCAGGTTTTGGAAGTGTTCAGAGATTTAAAAACAATTTCGTATACAATTTCTTATAAGGATTTGTTTTTAGGGACAGCCCAAAATAAAAATTATAAGTCTTGTTTGCTTTTTTATTTAAGGTTTGTGATTGAATGAAGTATCCTTAAAAGTAAGGTCTCTACATATTTCGATTTTTCACATCTGAAGCTGATGACAATATTATCTGATCTCCAATGTCAGAATTAAGTATGAGATTTTAAATACATTTTTTCATAAGTTTAATATCCCCCTGCCAAGTTTTTATTCTCGATTTCAGTGGCGCCCCCTTGTTTTATGATCCATGTGATGTATCCATCATGAGTTGACATATTTTGACAGTGCTCAAACCTAAAAACGCTGACAGTACACAAATCTTTTGCCTGTGGCGGCATGGAACTTAAGAAGCCGTCACCGGGATCTCCCTGCTTTTTATGCCATGATCGCATTGCATTTCCCTTTCATCTGACAATGTTGCCCTTGTCATCTACTTTATGCCACATTTAGAGAGTGGGAACTTCAGCATCGGATGAGTATGTGTAGTACGCATCTGCGCGAAGCCTTCGTTCATTAGGTCTCTTATAAATAATTGCTTTTTAACAGAGGCAAAAATTATCACCTAATTATAGAGCTTGACACGGGGGATTCCAACTGTCTCTCGTTTTTACACATTTGGAAAAAGTGAAGTGCTGTCATGCTTTGTCTATTAATTAACGACGGCAAATTTTTCATGTAAATTGTTCAAAATTAATTCAAAGCAGTTAATTATTAATTAATTATATTCAATTATTCAGTAATTATGTTATACAAGAGTGATAAGCTTAAAATTGAAAATCAGAGTATGTAGATTAATTTATACACAATAATTTTTACATGTTTTCCCGATATACTAATGCAAACAATAGCTATTTGAATAATATTTATTTTCAGCAGCACTTTGGGTTAATAATAGTATGTCCGTGAAAAATCTAAGCTGTCAACCGTTTACTCTCTAGGTGAGCACTTCAATGTCCTTTCAAAGGGGAAGTATACCGTCGCATAACTCTCCATTTAACTCGCATAAGGACCTCGTTTGCTCTGGCATTTCCGTTTGCCATTTGATTTGACAGGACACCGTATGTGTGCGTGTGTGTCTGCCGCTGTTTGGCCCATAAATTTGTATTTCCCTTTCGAGGAGGACTTCTGCAACATGTCCGCCTGTCAGCAAAATGTCGTCCTTCTCCCGGCAAACAATTTGCCGCATCGCAAAAACGGGACAAAACGCATTTTTCCATCGCTGCCGTTCTGCTTTTCAAACATTATTGCAATTTCGTAAATATTGTAAAAATGTTTTACGCTCGGAGCGCCAACGCTTTATGCAAATTAGCTGCACAAACCGTTCCACATTCCGAATGTTAATTTGCATTTCGCATTTCGCATTTCTTCCTGCTGCTCAGTTTGCTCCCAGCTTGTTTGGTTCTGTCATGTTTGGCCTGCGGATAAAAGGGAATTTTTATTTGCATTTAAATATATTACATACTTGTTAACCTCCTCCTACTTCTATTTGAGTGGATGCGGCTATATCTGGGAGTTGGGAGTTGAGAACTGGAAACTGGGAACTGAGATCCGGATCTGGGATCGGGGAATGTTCTTTTGCGGCCTTATCCCTTGACTTTTGGGAATGCGTTTGAGTGCACTGCACATTCTATTGTCCTTCGAACGGCAATCTGTACTTTTAATTGCCCTGGAAAACCGAGATTTCCACAATCTTAATCCACTTTGATTGCGGCTTCGCTTTGCCAACGTTTGCGGCTAGGCAAAAGTTTTCCCTCACTGTTTACTTTCGAGTGCTTGTGTGCCTCTCGCTCGTTTGTTTATTTGTTTTGACTTTAATTAAGTTTTATTATACAAATTAACACATGCGGGTGAAAAAACACATACTCGTAGATGGAACCCCCTCGAGCTGCTGTTCTTGTGTGTGGGGGATTTGAATTTTTAATTAAATCATATTACTAAGTCAATAATTAAATAAGTCATGTCAAATTCATACGCCACTGACAGTTTAATAAATGGAAAACTTTAGCATATTGAGAAGGAGCTAATTGCTTTTAGCTCACAAGATGCTGAATTCAATCACAAGTGTTGTCTATCGAAGGATGAGTTATAGTAGTAAGGAGTGTAAACTTAATTATCTGTGAGCTTGGGATTAAGGTGCGGTTGAGTTATGTGCTCAAAATACTTACAAATTCTTGGTTTCCGTTATGGAGATAAAATTCCAAGTTTCAAACTTTTTTGTTGGCCATTTCGTTATTTTTACCTTTAGATTTATTTGGCACATGGAATTTAAATGTAATTTATTTTTGGGAGGTCTAAAAGTACAAGGGGTGAAGATGGTTTGGTTTGGTGAGAAATCAAATTCACCTAATATATCTTCAATATTCCCTTATTCCCAATTTAAACATAAGCCCCCGATATTGTCTTAGAAAATGTTATTTATTGGGAGCTTCCTTCGGTGCGTCACATCTGGTTTTGTGTCGTATAAATATAAGTATGTATTAGTCAGGTAGGCGAATATGTTAGTCTTAATACATTTTTAAACATTAATGCAATTTGGCTAATTGAAATACATATGCATGAAGTAACCTCGTGGGGCCCATTAAAAGCTAGCCGTCGTCATCAGAGCGGCGGATAGGCGTTCTTCGCGTAGTTGGCAGCCACGCAGTAGTTCGTGGCCGCTCCGAAGAAGGAACACACTCCGCTGTTGGGCGCAGGATTCGTTCCGAATCCGCCGTAGCAGTTCGTATAGTTCTGGCACGAGCGCAGTTCCAGCGGCCCAAAGTTGAGGGCATAGGCCCCGGGCGGCGGCGGAGGCGGTGGGTGTGGCAGACTCGCATATTTGTGCATATTATTGCTAATGGGCGCCGGCACCAGCTGTGGAGCCGAATCCAGCAGAGGCCTCGAGCCCACGCTTCTCTCATTCCGCCGGAATTTAGCACGCCGATTCTGAAACCAGACCTGAAACATGCGTCCGAGTAATTGATAAAGGAATTAGCTTTGTTGGTATGAATTGCCTATTGGGGGCTATGCCAATGGTGGCTAATTTCGAGAATGAGCTTGTGCAATAAGCTTGAGATTAACCAGAATTTCTCATGATCGATCTATAAATTCTGCATTGACTGCATCACGTAACGTTTCCTTTCAATACAACATTTAATTGAAAGACCTGAACATGTTGTTGTCTATTATTATTTTCCCAGTAAATTATTAATTTTTAGAAGAGACATAAATCATCATCAAAATGCAGAGCTTAAAACAATGGACTGCATTGCTACTGCTACGTGTAAAAATATATTTTGATAAATGCACAACAATGAACTATTATGTAGCATTCACATGTAAAATTTTATGTTTTATCATTAACCAATGTAACATGTCAGATTTGTAAAATAATCAAAACATAGAAAGCTTATAACAAATAAGTGGCTGCTAACATTTTAATTAATTTTTCCTTTGAAATTGTTGGTTGGCTGTTACGTATGAAGGTAGAAAACACAGAAAAGGAAACAAACTACGGCAAGCCGGAGTTTATATACCCTTATAACTTCTAAAAATTAAATATTTTTTAAGAAAAGTAAAGTAGTTTATGATTTTACGCTTTATTGTTGTCCGATTTTAATAAATTAAACCCGTAACTCTAAAGTAACAAACCATTACTATATATCGAAATCAATGTATTTTCATATATTTATCCGATTGTTCCTTTGGTTGCTGTAAGATATAGTCCTCAAATTTTAATGAATCTAAAAATGTAATTCTGAATTATTTGACCATTTCTATATCTTAAGGAATATTATAAAGAAATTTAAAAAAACAAAGTTATAATTTCGTTTCATTAAGTTTTTCGATTTTTCATTCAGGATCTGTATGTTATAATCGTCCAAACAGGCTCGCTCCGAAAAACTTTTGGGTAAGTTTAATACAGATAGCTTTTAAACTGAGAGACTAGTTTGCGGACAGACTGATGGACATGATGCTGATCAAGAATATATATACTTTGTAGGATTTCACTGCGTTGCAAAGTTCTGACTGAAACTATAATACCCTCTGCAAGGGTTTTAAACCAAAGCTATGCATTGTTAAGAATAATGTAATTAAAAGCTCACCTGCACTCTTGCCTCGCTCAGATGCACCTTGGTGGCCAGCTCCTCGCGGACAAAGGCATCCGGGTAGTGGGTCCGTTCGAATACCTTCTCCAAGGCCGTCAGCTGGGCGGAGCTGAAGGTGGTGCGATTGCGGCGCGGCTTCCTTGAGTGGCCCACTGGGAGACTTCCGGAGCAGGGGGCTACACCACTACCACCTCCGCCATTGGTGCCTGCAATCAGGGAGCCATTAATTGGGAATTTTCACTTTTACTTTGGCTTTTAGCCTGCGGGACTGAATGCAAAATCTCTTTGGCGGACAGTGGCTGGAAAAAGGGGGAAGCTGCTCGTAAATAATCGATAGGAGCCAACGGATATCAATTAATTTGGCAGCCAGCTAGGAAATTTCGTTTCTTTTATGGGTTGTCGTGAACACATAAAATTTTGCATTCCGTTTGATCCTTCGCTTGGGGTTCGAAGGTGTGGGGGGAGGGGGGTCATAAACAAATGGCATGAACCATAAAATATCTTTTGACGACATCGGCGGACAGCTGTCTACTAATTTCGTCGCCCAACAAACATGAGCTAACACATTTACGATCTATTAATTAAAGTGAAATTGTGACATTAAGCGGCCATAAGCGAGAGAGCTCTTTGTCTCTGGCTGCTTTTAATTGATTTTTCATAGAATTTGCTTTAAAACCGTTTTACAAAAGATTAACAAATTTTTCCTTGAATTTTCTATTTTGGAGCTAATTGGAGGCGACACAACACTTTAGTTGAGAGTGGAAAAAACTAAAGTTCTTTTCCCTTAAAAGTATTCTTTAACTTATATTCCAAATCAAATAAAAACCAAGTTTATATATATCAAATTTATTGGTTAACCAAAAATAATTAATAAGTTTCCTTTCGTATTTTTTTTTTTAATAATTTATTATGAATCACACATTGAAACTAAGAAATATGTTAAATGATGTATTTGAAGTCTGAGATATTCGGTTTGATTTTGGTTGGAAGAGTTTTCTGTAGTATACTGTATAATTTGTTGGCGTCAAACATTTATTTGCTATCTTTTCTCTTTTAACATTTTAAGTTTGCAAACCATTTTGTATGTAAAATGAAACAAATGTTAGTCTATAATCGTTTTTAATGAAGACTTCTCACTCCTTTTAGTTTTCACTTTCCGAGATACATAGATAAATTGCCTCTGATATCTCCGGCATCCAGTTTGCTGGATTTCTTGGTTCAGCTTCTGGGTGGCCATTGCCGTGACTATCCCTATCAGCATCAGATATTTTCCTACCCACGCCATTTGTCTCAATTTGTCAGCCAAGCTGTCCACGAAGTTGGGAACTGCATCGTAGATTAGCTCGGAGCACTCCATACAAGTAAAAGAAAAAAAACGGGAGACCGGAGCAACTGCATCGGCAACTGATGTCCCCGGGGATTGGGTTCGGGTGTTTAGGGAGTGAGTGAGGGGAAGATCTTTAATTTGAATTGCCAACGAGCGATAAAAAACAGTTGCGGCTTAATAAAAAACCAACAAATCGAAAGGGAAACCTCAATCAGATTTGTTCAGCGGCAACAGCAAGGGGTGAAGATTGGCTGAGGAGTTACACTGCGAAAAAAGTTTTTTGATTATAGGAACATGACTCAAAATCCCATATATGCTTTAAATTTATTTTAACAATAAGAATGGAGCCTTAAACAAGTTTTTCTATTTTCATTTTCATTGTCCAAATAATATTATTAGAAATGAATATAATTTTAGCTTGGTGCTATTGCTAAAACTTAGAAAAACTTTTGTTCATCCAATATTATGAATTAAAGCACTTAAAAAAGTGGACAGATTTTGATAAAGTGAGTGTCAAGCAAAATTAATTTTTGAAGAATTATAATAAAACGGTTTTAAAACACAACTAATTTATTTAATATTCAGGAGTTATATATATAAAATTCCATTTGGTAAAATGCTTTTCTCAGTGCTAGGATGCAACTGGCACATGTTACAATCCAATCGAGCGACGAAAATAAACGAGGGAAGGCCAGGGAATAGAGTGCGTGCTGTGTCTGGGACTGGTTACAGTGGGACTGGCGTTTTATATGCTCCACTTGGAAATTATAGTCGTGGTAGCTACTCGCTACCTCGGATGCTTCAAAGGCATGCGGCCACTGAGGGAATATCATGTCAGCTTTGATTACGTTTTGTCATGTTGACAATGTTGAAGTGTTGTCGGCTCGGAAATGTTTCCACTGCCACAAAAAAAGAAAGGAAAGGAAAACTAGCGACCTGGAGCAAGAAAAGAAAAACTTTATGCGAACTGGTTACGAATTGTTGGAGTTCTTTTACGAGTTTCGTGAGACTTTTTTCATTTTTCTAGGATTTCGCATCAAATTAAGCTGCGGCAGACAACCAGTAGCAATATGTTGACAGTTTCCTCTCTGTGGGGCTATTACGGCGAATGGAGGAGTAGTTAAGGGGGGTTAAGCCGCAACCGCAGCAGCAAAAATGCACGGAGATGACATTGCACCGGGATCGGCAAAAATGAGCGAATGTCGCCCACATCTGGCACCTAATTGTCATCCATGAGTTGCGCCACACATTTATATATCATCCCATCTCATTCCACATATACCCTCTTATTAATGCATGTGCTGAGAGATATAGCTATGATTATGCAGTTGTGCGAATAATGCAATAAATTCTCTTGGCTCGCATTTCAGATGAATTTATCATTTATGAATTAGGCCATTGTCGCTCTGGCTAAGTCCCACAAAATCTAAGCTTATAATATTTGTATATGCAAGTGTCTATCTACCTTAAGTCCTTTGGCATTCTGTTAGAACAGCTGGTTATTATGCCAATTAAGAGGCTCTAAAAGTTAAATAAACCCAAGTGTCGCTCTGATTTCAACTATTTTAAGCGGTGAGCTGTGAAAATATTTAAATGAAAATAAATAAAAGCTTAGTCAATTTACACATTTCTATTTACATCATTATGTTAACATAAGAATGTTTTACCATTCTCTGTTTTAATTATTTCTATAACTTTTTATTATTCTTTATATTCCCTTAAAATTTAAAGTGAAAAATTTATAACCTTGCAGAGGGTATTATAATTTCAGTCAGAAGTTAGAAGGTTAGAAGTTTATCTATTTTATTGCAATGGCTGTAAGGGTATTTATACTTGGACTTTTTGTTTTTTTTTTTTAAAGTCGTTTTTTGGGGTGCAAAAATTCAACCAATCCAAAAGTTTGTAGGTCATGTAGGTGGACCCACTCAAGAAAATGAAGTGTTAAATTGAAACCGATCGATTTTTAAAAAAAAGTTACACTGGTAACAAGCCTTAACAATAATGAGGGAATGATCAGGAACCGGTAAGCCAAATAAACCGATTGAAAACGGGAACGGTACTAGAACCGAAATGAAATTAAATTTTGAATTAAGTACCGTCGTTTGTTCCAGTACCCTTTCGGAAATACTTTTTTATTGGTTTTTCTATTGAAATGCTTTCTAAAAGAATTAAAATGAACCACATCGCAAAGTTGCACTTATTGTATTTAATTTAAGAAAGAACCAAAATAAACATTATTTTTAACTGTTAGTAAAAGTGTCGAAATTAAATATACTTTAGAATTATTGAAATAATACTTAATTACTTAATTAATAATTAATTTGAAACAAAAAGAGGCGTTGGACATGTAGACAGTATAGTTTGTTTTTAACTTTCTCTTTGCGTAAAGACACACCTTTTCACTTTTAAATCCCAAACGCAAAATAAACTACTTATTAATAATCAATTATTGCGTCTCATGTTAACTTAATTTTATTTGTATAGGTTTTTATGATACCTTCTTTACTAAAATTATGCCATTTCTTTCGTCCGTGAAGTACGAATGAGTTTTTTTTTTTTATTTTGTTTTTTTAAAACAATGACGCTTGAACTCACCATAATTGTTATTCAGTTCCATGGATAGTTTGCCTTTGGCATAGGTCTCGTGTTTCATTTCCATGATGTTATCTACCGAAAATCGGTGCATTTTGTCCAGATCTCGGGCACTGCCCTCACGATCGTTCAGTTTATCTGGCGCCTCAAGATTTTGCGACTGAAGTGCTGGATATACCTCGCCGGAAACTGTGAGCGAATGCGATCCCGTCGGTCCGTAGTAGAAATTTCCCGGGTTGCCGACGGGCAGCGAATGCATTTGCTGTTGGTAGTTTAACATGTCTAGCAAATCAATTGCAAAATATTGTATAAATTTAAGGTTGAACTTTTGTCTAAAACACTTTCGATTTATTTGGGATCGCGATCGCGAGACAATGCAACTGATTTTTAATTTCGAACTTAATTCTTGGGTTGTCCGATTGATTGAATTAATTTTTGTTCTCTTAGCCTGCCACGATTGGGGGCATCCTGTGCGAACTTGGTAATTGGATTAGCACACAACACATAAACGAGTTAATTACGATAATTGTCGCGACGATACTAAACCGTGCCAAAGTCGTGTGCCCACTGAAATTAGCCTCAAAATCGAAAGAGTGCGCCCTGCCTCGCTCGTCGCTCGTCGAGAGATCCCATCCCCAGAATCGAAACCGAAACATATGTCTCCCGAGATCGCTGAGATTCTAGCGATGCGCCTAATTATAGCCCACCGATCTTCCATTGGCTGATGGTCCTCTGGCCTCTTCTCTTCCATTGCGTGGCCGACATTTTGGGGGCGTTGCCTCAAGACTCAAGTGGCTGGAAAATGCTTGAAATACGAGGTGAAAAGTATCAACAAGTTTTGAGCATTTAAGTAGTAATAAATACCAATTAGCCAGAGGGTTTGCTCTCCGGTTCACATTGTCCTGCCTGTCAGCACTGGCCATGTGTCTTTGTTGCCGTCGTCCTGATTCGGTGCTCCCATTTCGCAGGATGTTCAGTGCATCTGAAGTAGTTTCGGGCAACATCGGGGCATAAATCTTGGCACGCACACTGTTTGTCATCCTCCTGAGCTAATTTCCATAACCACAACATGCTGTTCACTTTACCGGCAAAGTGGAGCGATGGAAATCGGAAGGCTTGGGCGGAACTGGTTAGTTAAGTGCATGTTTGTGGATCTTTGTCGTTGTGCAGCTGTGTTTAACTTTACCTTAGAAGGTGTTTCCCTGCTGTTGTCCTTACACAATATGTTGTACATGTCCTTAAATAGACTCACTGTCGATAGGAATTAGGGTCATTCAAAATATTTTGCCTATAATCAAAATAGTTTTCATTCGATATAAAATGTTTATCGGTTTTCAGTGAATAGATTCTTTATCTACATCATATATAAGTGCTTTTAGATGTTTGTAATTGGATTAAACATAACGAACTTCTGGAAATAGACACCAGACTGTGACCTTCTTTCGTTTTTGGATTTGTTGACCAAACTTTCTGACTTAAATCCTCCGTTTGCCTGACGTTCAAGTGCGGGAACCCACATCAAGGCTTTCCCTGGTCTTAACTATTCGCAACTATCCCCCGAGAGAGGACTTCCGCTCATTAGTTGGCCCACTGCAAAGCTCGCTATTAATATTCTAATATTCTGCTGTTGGCAGGGGAGCAGCTTGCTTGGCGGGAAGGCTGGCTTACACACATTTTCCCTTCCAAATTGAGCTGTCACAAAAGTTTATCCAAACTACTTGACACTTCGCTGCCGGTTTTTGGCTACGCTTTTCCACCTGCAAAGGGGAGCAGCCTCGTCCGGCTCGTTTCTAGTAAATTATCTCACGTTTTCGTGTGCGAAAAGTTCTTGAGGAATGTTGCGGTGTGTATTTTTAATAAAACTTCAAAGTTTCCTACTTGCCACGCTTTACTATGTCTCTCAAACGTTTTTCTTCCCGGGCTCAATTTTCTTTCGTTTTCGGGTTGCCTCTGTTCTGTTCTTATTTTATTTTTTCAACTCTTGGAATTCTTTGTCACGAAACATTTCTCGCGTGTTGCTGCTGGTGATGTTGCTAGTGTTTTGTGGGTGTTATCCGTGTAATATGGTTACCCAGACAAACTTTAGCCGGGCAAATTCTTCTGGCAAGTCGAGGAGACAGTTTTAATGCTGTCAGATAGCAGGAAAGTAAGTAAACCTGTCAGGCTCCTCGGCGGGAAAGATGCTGGGAATATATCGAATATTATGTGGAATTCCGATGGGATAAATATGCGCAGGTAATGTCGATTACGATGTCAAAAGTATGCATTGAATACAAAGTGGGTTCGCCATGGCTGGAAATAGCTGTCTACAGAATAAGGTGTTCTGTCTGGGAAACTTTTCTTGCAATAATTCAAATTGGAAGACAGCTTTCGATTTTTTTTGTTAAACTAGCACAAACTGTGTGTCATTTGCTATTCTCAAATATTTAACTTATGTGTATTGTGTTTAGTAACTAAAATTTTAAGTATTAACTTAGAAAGAACAATGTATAGAATATACTTTATTTTTTACTCGATTTCGCAGATTATAACTAACTCCGTGTTCTTTTAAAAAGTGTTTCGGGTAGTCACAGATATCTCATCCATCGTTACGTTTACTAAATGAATCTAAGAATCTTTAAAATTTAATTTTTGTAAACCATAAAAGTATTACAATCCAAACCTGTTCATTTTGAGGAAATCAACAATCCTAAAATCCGGAACATGAGGTTCGCAATCCTTCAACCCGTAACAGTCGTTAAATCAGTTTGACAGTTTTTCTAGTTTCCCGCACACATTTAACAATTTCAATTTCCTTTGAGAAACTCAAAAGCGGGGATTTGGCCAAGTTCCTTTGAACTTCATGTTGTTTGTCAAGAAAATGAATTTCACTTGACGGCGATTATGTGGCAAGCATTTAAACGGTTTTCGTTCAATTTGTTGTTGCTGCCGTCGCTTTCGCAAAAGTTTTGTAAAACATTTCCGATATTTCAGAATATTACCGAACCAGGGCGGAACCGCAACAGAAGAACCAGCAACAGTAGCAGCTCCATCGCAGGAACCCATCACGCGCCCCTCGTCTACTTCTAAGCCCAAAATGCCAAACACGAATGGCACACGCTCCCTGACAGGGGCAAAATCGAGGGGAGAGGGTGCAAAAGTTTTGCCTAAATCACTTAACAGAAAACAAGTGTTGGCATGTGCCCTCCATCCCGCCGGACTTCCTGCCCCTTTCGGAGCGGTCGCTCGGAGTCCGCCTCTACCATCTTCCCCTCTACTGAGCAGAAATATCGCAAAAGTTGCAATGGAAACTTTGGGCATACCCATTACAGAGCCGGAAAACAGGATCAGCTAGAATGGAACAAATTTCCAGCTTCTGTAAAGGCAAACCGCTATTAAAGTGTTTCGAAAGTTACTAAGGTATTTATATTTATACTTCAATTTAAAGTTAAAGTTCATATACAGGATTTTTTTTAAGTTGAGAATTTTAACTTCAAATTTTACAAAGCTTAAAGAAGTTTTACATTCAGCAAATACCTGTAATACTTATTTGTATTAAGTTCATATTCTATTATGTATATAAACCAGATCTTATCCAAAAACTGATTTTTTTTTATTAATTTAATTTGGAAATTTCTGTTACTTTTTTTTTGCCCATTTCAGAAAAATCAATCCTTTGAACTTCTGGAACTTGAACATTTTACTAGGTATTTAATATTTCTAGCCTTATCTGAAATCTCTGTAAGTCTCTCCTGATGTTGGGTTATGTTGGAATCAGGCAGCACAACAAAGTTGACGTCAAATGAAATATAATAACAAGAAGTAAACGGAAGCATCAGGTTCGGCAACTTAGCTGCCCGACCACGCCCACTTCCATTTGCTCCCGAATTTGGGGCAGTGCGTAAACAGAAAATCAATTACACACTGCATATATATAGAGAAAGGTTGACAGGCGCCCTCTGGCGGCTCGCAACTGTCAATGGGGCAGATCAGAAAAAAAAAACAAATTGAAGGTGTATATAGTTGGTTTGCACTTGTATAATACCTAGTATATTGAATTTCAAAAATGGTCAGGAATAAAAGTATCAAATTATTTTAATTTTAAAAAAGTACAAAAAATAACATCTTTAATTAGGCATGTCAAAAAGAAAACAAATTTAGGGGGTATACAATTGGTTACGACTGAGTAACACCATATATTATATATTAAATTTCCATTATGGTAAAAAAAGAGTTGTGAACGATGATAAGCTTAAATAAGCTTTAACATGCAAATTAATTTTGACTTTGTTAATAATTAAGTTAAAGCTTTGGAATCGTCACAAGAAAACACATTGTATAAGATTAATGTTTTGAATGAATTAAAATTGTATTCAAGATATAAATGACCTCTTATTTATGGAAATCTAAAAGCATTGAATAGATTAATGTTTTCGATATTTTAACATTTCTCAAATCCGATAGGAATTACAATAATAGTTGTACAACAAATTGCTTTCTCTTGTACCAGCTTTTTAATCAATTAAATACGCATTGCATGTTTATAAAACATTGTAGACGTTACCAAAAGCAAACTCCTCAAAAGTTGGTCACAACACCATCCTGGTAACGGGGTATATTATAGGAAAGAAACGAGGCTTTACATTAATTACGGCACGCAAAAGCTTCTTGACTTTTATTGTGACATAGGCCTGGCAACTTACCCACCCGCCCCTTTCGTATCCACATATAAAACGCATGAATATTTTATACTTCCCAGTAACCAGGACCAAGTATACGACAGCAGTTTTAAAAGCCATGTTAAGAGACTTTCCCGCCTCTGCTCCTTTCTGCTCAGATGTCCATTTAGACACACACACACACTGCGAGTTGGGTCAGTCGTCGGAGTTTTCGGCCGGCCAACATCAATTTTGCAAAGCTTTGACCGTAGCAAAAATGTTGAGGCATTTTCGATTTTTCCTCCTTGTTTGCCTCTCAAATGGTTTGCATAATTTATGCATTTTTTATGCCAAACATTTGAATTTTGCTGAGCCGCAACGAAGTCGAGTCTCGAGTCCAAACTCGTCCATTTAATATTTATCCAGCTGAGATTGAAGGGGATTACAGTCTGGAGTATGGATTGCCAATTGTTTCTCCGCTACTAAACTCGGTCATGTTACCGTCCACACCAAAATGAATTTTAATTCACGTTTCTGCACACACGATATCAGAATTTGGCAGCCGGAAAGCCCCTGGGTTCAGATCGTATTTATTCACGGGAATTGCAATTTTTGATGCCATGTCGACACGCAAGAGCATCAGCATCAGCAACAGCATCAACAAATCCAACCGCAGAACACGACAAATACCACAAAATGTGGTTTTGCCTAACCTGATGAGCTCATTACAATCTCGGCTCCTTCATGCATAGTTTTCTGTGTCCGGAAAATTTATGAAAATATGGCTTTTATATGAGAGGGAAAAATGTACTAGGTAGAAATAGTACAATTTTAGCTTTGGTTCAACTTGCTGAAATAGATTTTCGGAGGCTTGTGGCAGAGTACCAGAGAAAACAAATATATTAAAGATACATTTAAAATTTGTTAAGGCATTTAAGATAAATAACCACTAGACCGGATTTTGCATATTCCCTGAAAATATGATTATTCCGTTAATATTGCCAATATCAACCCAGACTGAAACTTAAAACTATTAAAATATTTTCAGAAACACATAAACCATTTAAATATATATGTTTATTGGTTTAACAACGTTCTTAATCTTAATACAGCCGTTAATGCTAACTAGTGCCATATTTTAAGAATCACTTTCAGCAATTTGTTAGCAAGAAGTGCCATTTTGTTGATTGAACATTTTCAATCGAAATTTTTTGCTGCGTTTCATTATTTTTTGCCGAGTTGCTGTATAGTTGTCATTCAGTGAGCTGCAAAGTCAGCAGCATTTAAATTTCGCTCACGATTGTCTCCGGATGAGCAGTGCAACGAGTGAGCAGAGCAGAAGACCAGCGAGGCAAACAGTCAAGGAAGAAATAACGCGGATTGAAAATCAACGGATACGGAACGGATGTACGGGTACTCAGTACTCAGAACCGTACCACAACTCCTTCGCCCCTCCTTTTTGTTGCCGCTGTAGCTGTCTGTTGGTAGGAAAAACTGTCGCTGCAATCAGATGCAATTAGAGCTTCCGATGCCTTATCGCGGAAAATGGGAACATGGGCGCGGAGGTCGGCCTTTGCAAATGAAATGGAATGGAAATTGAAAACAGAAACAGGGGAAAGTGATTGAGCCAATGCGCATCTGCATCGAATATGGCAAACTCGTAAGCTAAAAGACCTACATTCCTTCTTGGCAATGACTCCTACAGTATTTCGCAAAGAAGGTCCAGTAAATTAATTGATTACAAAAATGTAATTGGGCAAAGTACCTCCTCTTAATTACTTTTTAGTATGCAGGTTTTGTAAAGAAAGGAATCTAAAGGAATAATTCTTGTTTGTTAAGGCTGTGTATTTAATTATTTAGTTTCAAACGTCTTAGTACAACATTCGTCATCGAATTATTGTTTTTACTATTTATTTAACATTTCATAAATTTATACTTTATATGCTGCAATTATTATGTACAAATATTTATCAGAAATACTCAAAACTATCATTTGGGTTAAGAAAGTGCCTTGAAGTTAACGAGAAATTTCTGTTTTCGCTTTGAACTCGCATTATTCTTCCGTCCCATCAATCCACTCGAAGTGCACTTGAGATATGCATGACATTTCTGTCGCATTAATAAAGCGCCATCTCCAGCACGAAGGCAGACATCATTATTTTAAAAATTCAGTCGTTGCATAATAATGAATTCATATATTTATACATGCCATATGCCAACCAACCGGATGTCGGTCCTGGCCGAAAATTAATGAGTGGGCGGTGAGCAATTGTTGCACGCACCAGTCTTTAAGTTTCGTCGCTGCGCCAGAGAGATAAATCAAGCGGAAACTTTTTCAACGGCAATCCCGGGGAATATTTCATGGCAGGATTCAGGAATCTGCGGCCAAAATCCACACGACGACGGATTAGGCCAGGTCGGGATGAAATACTGTCCTGGGGCGTGAGCAGATTTCCGCCACGAGCTTTATGTGCTGTGCCATATAAAAAGGTGTTGCTTCGCCTGTCTCTTTCTTTTTATGTTCCTCTCTAAACACACACACGCACACACACACACACATGCAGACGGTAGCAGGTGTGTCTGTACATTAAAGGCCATAAAATATTCATAAAATGCATTTCTCGGATGCCAAAAACCAAACACAAAATTCGAAGGCACCCAACATGCAAAGTACATACACAAAATACACATTTTAAGTACTTAAATGGGACCTATGTTGCCACATGGAATATGTACCTATCCCATGGCCGATTATAAACTAACCTCAAAACATAATTAAAACACTTGAGAAAACTTTACGGAGCCTGTGCCTTCATTAGGTTCTTTATTGGGATAGGGATAGATCTAGATTTAGTTGGACTTCTTCATCGAAGCACCTCCTTCACGTAATCCATTGCGGAAACGACGGCGTAAGTTCTTCAGATACCGCATCCTTCCTGTTCCCTGGGCTTTGCGACCCTTCGCCTTTCGGGACCATCGAAAGGAGCGAGTTTTGGCTGCGGGGTAGCCGCATTGGGAACACTTCGACTTCTGGAGGTGATACGACGAATCCCCGCAGCGGCGGCAGATTGTGTGCGTCTTGTTGTGGCGCTTGCCAAAGCTTGTGGTTCCCTTGGTCATCCTTCTTCGGTAGAGTTTTCCAAAAATTAAATAAGAAAATTTTCAAGTCTCTGGGAACGTCTGCTTCGGAAAAGAATGACAAGCGAAAAGGCTGATTTTGGAGATGGTAGGTGCAGTGCACTCGTTTGGAAAAACCTTTCGATTTTTCTCAATTTGTTATCGATGGGTGTTGAAAAGTTTCGACTTTTATTACTATCGTAATTGTTAACCCGTTACTTTGTATGAAGTTGGCATTAGTAAGCGGCAATAAAATTTCTTTTGGATAAAGGAATTTTACAATGTTTTGTATTCCAACTATAAAGATTAGTATAAAAGGAACAATTTATTAATAACATAAGAAAGGAAAACAATTTGGACAAGCCGAAGTTTAAATACCTTTGCAGCTATATCAAAAGTGTTATATATTTTAAATCGATTAAAGTTTGTTGTTGATTTCAACGGTTCCTATGGCAGCTGCTGCAATTTAAAATATTAATAAAAATAAAAAACGTAATTTTAAAACTGAAAAAACATCGTTTTCTCATTTTAATTTTAAGAAACAAAACTTTTAAAAAGTTTTACGGAGAGCTTTAAAACTGCTAGACTTTTAAAAAGTAAAGGGTTTTATTAGCTTTTGCTTGCAACAGTTATAAAAAACAATAAATTAGATCTTTTATTTATATCCTCTTTCTTCAGAACTTGCTTTTCGATAGTTTAAAACAGTTGATATCGTGCACTTAACAGCACACTGTTAACTTTAATATATTTCAAAAACGCGAGCACCTAAAACCGAAAGCGCAGATATTTTCTAAATACTTAGCTCGGACAATTTATTATATGTCGATCGTTATTTGGAAAGTTTTCCCGATTTTCGCAAACTTTCATATAAATTGAGTGATCGTTTTCATAGAGGCTATACAAAATATTACTCTGATTTTTATTAAATTGAAACGCAATTATATCATTTATTTACGCATAAACTCAAAATATAGTCGTTTTATAAAATATTTAATGTTTGTGTATCTGCAACTTCGGTTGTCTTGCAGAAGTTTTGCCTCCTTACTCGTTTAAAATTAAGCTGAATGATATTTGATTTTTGATATTTTCGCTGACATAAAGTTTTTATTGTTTAGATCTATAAGCTAAACTATCATCCAATAAAAGAACATTACCCTTACCCCTAAAGATAAACTTGACATTTAAAAAGAAAAAGTTTAAGATTTCAGATTGCATTTCCCTTTGCTAACTTAATCTTTGGGAAAACGAAACGTCACTACCACGTGCACAACATTTGCCAATTGCTGCGAAATTGCGCGCAAATTATATCAATCTCCGATCAAAATCATTGCAAACTTATCAATTTTCTCTCCACGAACCAGACTCACATTCGCTGAGACGGAGTCAAAATCGCAGAGACCTTGTAAAAACGAACAAAAATCAAATATTTATGATATGTTTGAGCAACATTTTGCTGCCGCTGTGGCCTGCGGCAAAAGTAAACTACAAATTTTTCTTTTTCGACTGCATTTTCGTTTGCCTTGGCATTTGGATTTATGTGCGTGGCGTTTGAAAATTCAATTTAATTCTCATTTTTTTGTGCCATCGCGGCTGCTGCTGTGGGATATCCTATGAATTTTTGAGGCTATCTGGTGAAACCTTCGCCATTTTGGTCCTTTGCATATCGAGTTAAGTTATGGTTTGGCGGGAATTGTGTTAGCTGGGATGTGCTGGGATACTGATTTCTGCGAGCGGACAGAGTGTTTTCGTCTGCTTTAGTTATCTTCAAAGAAGTCCAGCACAAAGATTACAGCATTTATTCATACTTTTTATATAATTTATTCTAACAAATTTTAAGAAAAATGTTTTTTTACTTTATGACCCAAAAAGCTTTAAAACAGAGCTAATAAATATGCATGAACAGTTTTTTTATAACAGCTTCGTCATCCACTTTTGGTATATTTTTAGTTTTGTTGCTTTTTTAGCACGCATAAGAAATATTTTGGAAACACTTAAATTGAAAACGTTTTTGTATAAAGCAAAATTTCCAGTATTAAAGGAAAACTGTTCAAGGAATCCAAGAGTTCATTTGCAGTTCAGAAAACCATCTTTGTGCCAAAGAGATAGATTTCGAGATCTCAATTCGTCCATGTACATCTCGGACTCCCTTTGGAAAAGCTCGACTATCTGCTGGTGCCTCACCTTTCTGATGTACTTTTGCATACACCTCAATTCCTGAGAAATCGGCTTCACAACCGAATCGATTGGGCCATTATCCCCGCCGCATTGGCAATCAATTTTTTGAGCGAGTCTAAAAAAGAGGTTGGTGTTAAGGTGTTGGCCTTCTAATAAGTTCTGACAATCTTACAAGTGGGACATTTTTACGTATATATTGTTGTTATATTTGTATTGACAGTTTGTTCAATGGTAACTAAAGATATTAATTCCTATCGGTTGTGCACCGGTAAACATTAATGAGTGATTTGGCCAACAGAATTAAACATCTATAAGCTTTTATAATTTAGTAATTTTCATTTATAAATTTTATATTGGTAAAAGAAGACAAGTGAAGTTAAATAATTTGGTGGGGTCTGAGTAGTATTTGCTATGAATATACAATAGTATAAAAAAAATTAATTTGTTCATAAATTGAACTTTGTTTATTTTGTTGTTATGTCACTGAGGATGACCTGAGAAAAACAAATTTCAGATACTTTAAATACAATAAATCAATTACCTGCTAACTAAGGGAGACTAATAAAAATGAACGTTATTGTTATAACAAGATGCGTTATTTCATAGCCAAAAGAAATGGTAATCCCCATCCATTATTCGATATCCCTCTGAAGAACTCCTGTCAATGCAACATGGCAGTGTGATTCTTTGACAATCGATAAACTCTATTGAAGTTAAAAATGTTGCATTGTTAGCCCAACCAATCCGAGTCATCCCCTCGATCCAAGTGCCGGATTGTGTGTCGCAGGATAACGACGGGGAGCAGTCGTAACCCAGTGGCAATGCATTATGCTAAAATGTCTCCGGTTCCATCCGTTCGTTTGTCTGTCTGTTGTCTGCCCGTCCGACCGGCAGCATGTCTGCTCCTCCGATTCCGATTCTCCGGATGCTGGCAGTGCAATGTCGTGGCCTGTTGTTGGATGTCGGTGAGGGATTAAATTGCGACTTATGCTAAGCGAACTGATGGCGAGGGGCAAATTGAATGGAAGCTCGTTTATATTGCTCGAATTGCGGCAAAGTATTGGAGCTGTCGCTGGATTTGTCACTGTCGCTCGACGGCGTCGGGAGTTTTGCAGCAACAAGACAGGACCAAGTTTATAAATGCCTGGCAATTGGCAGTACAAAGGAATCCCGGCCAGGCAATTTCCATTACCAACTGGCATATTCCTCCGGCAGTGCATGAAAAGGCCATTATCGGTTTTCTACGGTCCAATACACATGCCTTTGGAACTCAATAGTTTGTTGTTGGTCTAAACATACTTTCCTATTCTTCGCTTGTTTTCGCTACTTCTCCTTGATAATTTAGTTGAGTTTGTGTTGATCTTTTTTGCACTTTTGTAATATTATTTACATTTCATATATGTTTTTTTCCATATCAGATTTTTTTAGGTACATTATTTTATCTTGAGATTTTTTATTTTAATTTACAACAGAACTATTAAAGTTGTCTAGTGTAAAAAACTATTTTAATTTAAAACTATTGTTTTACATTATAAACAAGAAAAAACGCTATAGTCGGATTTTCCGACTATTAATATCCGTTACTCAGCTAACAAATTAAACAAAATAAATATTCCCCCACAAAACAGTCAGAGTCTAGGTGGTGTCATCTGTCGAACTACCTAGCCAACCTCCCGCTAACAGTTCTATTGTTCTTTTTCTCTTTCATCTTCTACAACCGGCAGAGCAGCGGCAGGGGGCGGCAGAAAAACGGCAGAGCATCGGCAGAGAACTAACTTCGAAAGTAAAAATTTGTGTGTCTATCGATAGATATGACCAAAACACAAACACAGAAAACAACAGCTAAGGTCTAACATGTATCAGAGTGACGTGACAGACGTGTTTAGTAGGCATGGCTCCGTTTTGAAACTAACTTGCGCTTTTTAAATAAACTTTAAAATACTAAAATCTGCATGCGAAATTCCAAATCTCTAGCTTTTATAGGTTCCGAGATCTCGACGTTCAGACAGACGCACATGACTAGAACGACTCGGCTATTGACCCTGATCAAAATATATATACATTATAGGGTCGGAAACGTTTCCTTCAACCTTCTTTTATTCTACAAGTAACGGGTAAAACTTCACAAAGAACTCAGTTCAGTTATTCTTTAGCTCCGATTGAACCAGCATAATAGAATGAATTAAAATTGAGTTGGCCATGGCCATTAATTGACTGCGTTCCACTTTAAAGAGTCCCAAAACATAGAATTCGTAGGGATCGCGGGCCAACTGCAATTGGAAGTTCTCAAACTATAAAGTATAAAATATAGGTGAAAATATATTCCATAAGTATTAAGCTTAACTTACGGCTGTCTCTAGTCTTGTATCCAATTCCTGGCTGAATAAAGTTCGCTCTGCCAAAACCCTGGTTACCTCATTTTCCTGATCGCAAATATCAAATCCAATATTTAGCGTTATCCAATTATCCGCGTAAAAGAATATTGTCGACAAAGCAATGAGCAGAAGTCCCCAATATGTGGAACCAAATCCTGTTGTGTTGTACAAAATCGAACAGAAAGTGAAGTATATGGAGCCCACCGAGGAAAGATAGTAAACCATGCTCATGCTTAAGCTCTGTATTTGGAAAATCTCCGACATTTCGCCAAGTGTGTCCTTCAATTTAGAATGTCTTTCGGCTAACTGATCTAGTTGATCTGCTAAGAAGCAACATTTTGTTGCGAAAACTCCTCCGCCACGTTTGCGAGTAAGACAAATAGTTTCAGCTTCACCAATTAAGTGCCGTAAATCTTCTTCAAGAATATTATAGAGCCCAAGAATTTGCAGTATGGCGATATAATACTGAACCACGATCATGTTGAATATGGTGGTAAAGAGGGCTCCCACAAGTAGGCTTACACACAAGCCGAAAGTGAGATTTTTACGTTGAGCACTTATGTCCAAAATCATGTGCATGGAGTCAGAAAGAACACAGAATACAAATTTTATAATAATATGCCGACGATAGCGAAGAACCACCGAGGGTCTTTCCCGAACTAATTCAATTATTTGATTCCACAGCCTGAGGATTTTGGAACGCTGGATCCATCGGGTGATCATAGATAGCATCACGGCCAAATTCCGCACCACCGTCATTAGCAGGAAAAAGTACTCATGCAAAAGCCGAGCGTTATCCAAAGTCGATTTCCAGTTGTTATTGCTAAGGCCGAGCACACTAAGCAGCGTGATTAGACCTATATTATGCACCGCTGAGAATATCGTGACTCGTCGAGTGGCTATAGCTTTTCCGGTCGGCCAATCCACTTCGAAGTTCATTACTCCAACCGCAAGACCATAACAATACGCTAAGCGCAGAATCGCCTGCACCGCATTAACCATGTTTCAATACTGAATCCTCATCAGAATTAGCGCGAACTCTGTGATGAGCGCTTACGCAATACCATCAATATGATTAATTCTATGGGGATAAGTTAATAAGCCGGTGATTGATGGCGATAGAAACAAGAAGGAAAGCCACATGCGAGGGCCTCACTTATCAAATACGTTACTTTTTCAACCATTTTCAAAATATATATACGACTCCAGCATATATCGCCTTTTGAAATTATACTGGTTCGGCAAACAGTGTGGCCACGGTTTTTAAAAATAGGCCAAAAATAAAAAATAGTAAAATAAAATAAAAGCAAGCTATATCAAAGTAAAAGAAAACATACATAAAAACTTTGAGTTTTTAAATAAAAGTGGTAATTATTTTAAATCTTTTAAAATTAAATACAAATACTAAACTTTTCCTTTCATTTAACAAATTAATTTTAAGCAGATATCTATAAGTCTGAAAGACTAGTTTGCGTAGAAACGGACGGATAGACGGACATGGCTAGACCGTAACTTTAAAATAATAAACCATTGTTATATATCGAAGAACCAAAAAAAAAATTAATAATCAGCAGAGTTATAATATCTAAAAACACTTTTTCCCGACTGCTCCAATTGTATATAATACAATCGTCAAATCCGGCTTGTTCCGATTAGTAGTTAAAGTAAAGTTGTAGACGAAATTGCATATTTTATAGTTGAATACATATTATTTAAACAAAATAATATTTTTCATTTTATTTTTGATTATCTACATTTTAAAAATGTTCCACATCATATTGAATCAGAAGAATTGAGTGTGTTAGAAGTGAGTTGCCCACAGCGAACGATGATGCACGGTCGATTTCAAATAAGCCAAAGAAACTTAGCTTAAACGGGTTATGAGCCAGGTTCAGAATAAAAGTCTCGAACTGCAAGTAGTTTGAACAAATTAAACGGCGCTTGTTAGTTTCAAGGATTCTCGACCACTCACAACTGTTTCTAATCTTTGGTCCAAGCCTGGCTGAAAGAGAGTCCGTTGATTCAGCAATTTAACTATGTCATCGTGGGTGTCCATGAGGTAGAAAACATTATGCGAGTTAAGCCAGCAATCAAGGTAGTAAAATACTAAGTAAGCAAGGCCGCAAGCTTTGACAATGTTTGGCCAATGCTCTGTTAACGATCTGTATTTGTTGATACTAAACAGTAAGTAAGAATTCGTCACCAAGTTTAGATAGTAGGTGACCATCAAGCATATGACTTGAACTCGATAAGACCTCGATAAACATTCAATGAGGTTTTGCAAACTGGATTGGGTTCGAGCCAGTTCTTCCAACTCGTCAGCCAAATAGCAACATTTGGTCACAAAGACACCACTTTTGTTCGGAATTAGTGCTTGAGTCTTAGCTAGAATCGTCCGGAGCTCCGAATTCAAAAGTCTGTAGCGAGCTCTTATAATTGCCATGGCTGTAAAGTACTGTGTTATGATCACATTAATTATTGATGTCAAGCTCAATATGGACCAAATGCTAAATGCCAGGGAAATAGTTAGTTGGTTTGATGTTAGAACTAGAACCATGATAATCTGCAGAGTTTCGGACATTGTGGCGCAGATGCATTTGCTCACAATGCTCCTACGGCAATAGTTTATTATCTCAGGATTCAGCTGGTAAAGGCAGTGGATCGAGTAGAAGAGCTTCATAAACGTGCCACGTTGAGACCAACGACTAACTAGGGACAGCAGAACACAAATCACACGAACGCACGACATAATCATAAACATATTTTTGTGAAGAGAGTTTGTCGTTGCCCACAGCTTGCCCATTACACGGGCATTTGCCATCTGAATTCCCAGAATTATGAACATTAATAGGTGGGAAAAGGCTGAGCATATTGTAGCATTTCTGGTGACTCGCGTTCTACCCGTTTTGAAATCGATTTCAAAGTTTAACACGCCAGTGAAACGTCCGTAATAATACGAAACAAACAGACACCATTTGACTAAGTCGACCATTGCGAACTACTGAAAGGAAGCGACAGAAAGCAAAATGTCTAATAAGGATTTCCATAGAGCTGACTCTAATGTAAGAGTGATAAGTTTGTGAAGTCAATAATTTCATTTTCATTTCCGTTACTCGTAGAGTAAAAGGGTATATTGCATTCCTTCAAATTGATTGTTTTCGGGAGTACATTTGTTTTGAAATTGGTCAGCTGAGGGTATCGGATTGTCGTGGCACTCGACTATAGCGTTCCTACTTATCGGATCACTAAATCTTATGACTAGTTTATTAAAGCTTTTCTTTGTGTTTGTTTATAAAAAGGATTTTTTTTCTTCTCCTTATATTCAGAGTTACTAAACAATAACAAAAAACGTTGTTCCTAGTTGTTCACAGTAATCAAAGCGGTGTGATAAGGTATAATTAAACTAATGTGGGACTAGGCTGAGATTGGGCTTTCAAAATAACTTTTACACAAACCTTCTTAAAAACATCAGATGTTTTAAGTGTTTTGATTATATACTTATGAATACAAATATTATTTAAATGATAAGTTTCTGCTTGGGTATTTTGGACTTCGTCCCTGTTGTCCAGACCGTCGTTTTTTTTTGCACAATCGCAATCCCATTAGCTCTGAGTGGAAAATGTTAAAAATGTTGCATATCATATTGAATCAGAAGAATTGAGTGCGTTAATAGAGAGTTTGCCATGGTAAATAATGCAAAACGATCGATTTCTATTAAGCCAACAGGCTTAAGCTTCAAAGGATCTCGGACCAGGTTCAGAATAAACGCCTCGAACTGCAAATATTTTAAACAATTTTTAGAAATTTATTAAATAATAATTAGGGTTCTAGAAAACTCACAACTGTCTCCAATCTTTGATCAAATCCTGGCTGAAAAAGCGTTCGTTGATTCAGCAATTCGACTGTGTCATCATAGGCGTCTAATAGGTAAAAAACGTTGAACAAGCTAAGCCAGCAGTCAAGGTAGTAAGCTACTACATAAACTATGGTCCCGATAATAGCGAATGACGACCACTGCTCTTTCAGAGCATTAAGTTTGTTGAGACTGAAAATGATGTATGAGCTAGACACCAAATTAAGATAGGAGCTGACGACCATGCAAATAATCTGAACTTGGTAGGCTTTCGATAAACGGTCAATTAGCGCTTGTAAATTTGATTGTGTTCGAGCAATTTTTTCCAATTCATCTGCCAGATAGCAACATTTGGTCACAAAGAGCCCACTTTGGTTGGGGATAAGTAATTTAGTTTCGAGCAAAATCGATCTCAGCTTCTTGTTTAAGAGAATGTATCGTCCCCTTATTATTGCGATGGCTATAAAATACTGCGTGATGATTCCGTATGCTAAGGCTGTTAAGCTTAAAACAGACCAAACGCTGAATGCCTTAAAAAAATATGACTGTTTTGGGACTATCACTAGTATCAAGATTACTTGAACAGTCAGAGATATTGTGGCGCAAAAGCACTTGCTTACGATACTTCTTTGACAGCACTGTATTATCTCTGGATTGCGCCGATAAAGGCCGTTGATCGAGTTAAACAGTCTCATAAACGATCGACGTTGAGTCCAAGTCTTGACTACAGTCAACAAAATGCACACTGCTCGAACACAGCCTTTAATTATATGCAAAGTTTCCTGAAGAGAGATTTCCTTTCTCGACATATTGGCTACTTCATGTGCTTTTGATATTTGAAAACATATTACGATAATCGTTAATATGTGGGCTGAAGCTGCATATATTGTGGCTCGTTTGGTGACTCGACTTTGACCCGTTTGGAAATCGACTTCGAAGTTCAGCAATCCAGTAAAACGTCCGAAATAATATGAGGTCTGCAGACACAATTTCACGAGGCTGACCATTGTGGAATACTGAACAGCAGGTTCAAGACAAAAAAGCTCTTAAATAGATTTACATTTACGCTGTCCTTAATATGCATCTTGATCTCTAAAAACGACAAGATATCAATATAATCATTTTTTATCGTATTACTAAATCAAATGACCTCCAACGCTTTATACTTGTATAACTTTATACTTTTGTAATTTTATACTTTTATGACTTTATACTTTTATAACTTTACACTTTTATAACTTTATACTTTTATAGCTCAGAACATTTTTCTTGATTTTCAAACAATAATTTGTTGGTCTCAATTTTTATACGTTCGTTCACAAAAATCGAACGAAATCGAAAACGCATACCTTTTCGTTCTTAAAAGTTAGCTCGCCTGCTGTCGTTCTCAATTTTTACCTGTTGTTTGTTCACGAAAATCAAATGCTGTTTATTAAGCAAAACCTTTTTACTCTACGAGTAGTGTGTATTAAAACACCATTTGACCCAGTCAGCTATCGTGGAGCACTAAGTTTCGTCGTTAGAAATTGCCCTTATTCTACGTTAATTTCGATTGATGTACTGATGTCTGTCAGTAAAGGGTTGTCAACGAAATCAATCAACTAATTTACTAAGTGTTTTTTATGGCTTTTATGGGAAGCCAAACGTTTAAAATTCTAACGGTTATTTTATCGGCACTTGCAGAGTCTATATAGGGTAACAAATAGAATGTCTTAAACCTCTGCTGGACCTTAGATAGTTATAAAATAACATTTAATCACTTAACTGAACTATTTTACGCGCTTGCCTCTTGAAGGTAATAATATTTTTGTAAAGTAATCTAATAAAAGCATTTTACACAAGCCACTTATTTTCAAAATTAATTTAAAACACTCACCTCCTAGTGCATAAATATAAAGGTAAATTGTTTGCTATTTATTTATCAATGTATTTTTGTCATTCGTGGCCACCCGGTTTCCCTATCCTACTCATCAGCCAACCCCATAACCTACCCACTGGGCAAGGATGTGGGCAAAGTGTTAAACATCTTGTACTGCATTCTTGTTTGCAGTGAGATTCCGCAGCTCATGGCTTGACAAACATGGCCCTGTTTCGAGAGGACAAAGATGGTGGCGATGAGCTGATGTGGCAGAGGCGAACTTCCATGGCCGCAGAATGTTTGCTCAACACTTATTCTTAGTGAAAGGCTCGGATACGTGTTCGAGGGAAGGAAGTCTAGGTATGAGCCTGTAAAAGCCTTACATGGCTACATTGAGAAAAAAGTTCTAATTTCAACATATTTATTTTTATTTATTTATTAAACTGCTTGTATTTTGTAAACGTTTTTTATTTTGCTAATTGAAGTTCCCTTTTTCCTTTGATTTCATTATTTGCTTAAATTGGTTTTTAGTTTTTGTTCTTCATTAGCTAAGCAAAGTAAAATACCTATTCTTATACAAGTATTAACTTTATCGTTATCTATTTTTTAAGTGCAGCTGCGGATGAAACTGAAACTTCGACGTTAAGAAGTGCATATTAAACAGCAGAAGAGGGCGAGAGGAAGGCCCTCAGGCCATCATCTGCGGCTGATGCCGTCGAATGTCTCGAGAGTTTCTTTAGCGCGGCTAGGTTACTGGATGCATCCCATCCAAAATGCAAGTTCCACTTACAAAATGCACTTTAATATTCACCCAACACAGGGCATTTTCACAACTTAATTTAAATTTGTTATGGTCGAGAAACGAATGAATTTGTGTACTATTGCATTTGTCATCCTGTCAAATGCCATGCTGCAACAAAAACGACAACTGCAGCGGAATTTTAGCGACCGACGGGTGTCAAAAATGTTGTGAATTTAGGCGACAAATCAAATTGGAAAAAAAGCGCACGCTTTTAACTCAAAAATGCAAACCACCATGCAAAAGCGGAAGCGGATGTGTTAAAAATGGTTTCTGATTGTATGAAAATCCAATGCCGCACTCAGTCAGAAACTGTTGCATACTTTGGGGCTTTGCATGTCATAGGAAAATGCACTTTTCATTCGATGGAAATGCAAGCCGACATAGAAATTGATTAAGCATTATGTTGTACAGAACATAGATGGAATTCTGTATCATATAAAAATGCACATATTTGAAAAAGCGATCAAAATCGATTGGCCAAAAATGATCAAACTTTCTTAAGTACAAATATAAAATTGTACTTATACATTAACACAACGAAACAGAACCCTTAGTCGTCAGATTGTTAGAGCTTTATCAATAAAATGAATATTTAATTGTTATTATCTAAAATTATTTAAAAGTAAGCAGGCTAAAGAATATCTATCGTTAGTTTCAATCGTTGACCATGGTTTTCAAATTTAAAGTTAAAGTATGAATTTTTACTTACATATTCATTAAAATCGAAATATTGTCGTTTTCTTGATAATTAACTTTTGTAATAGCTTCAAGGGTATTTAAATTTCGGCTTGCCAAAGTTTTTCAATCAAAAAAATTTGTATTATTTTGTCAACAAAAAATAAAACCAATTTTAAAATATTATTTAATGACAAAAATGGTGCAGTGAATCGGTAAATAGTTATTCTTTCAATTTTACTAATTTAATACCTCACAAATAAAATAAAGTAATAGATTTTAATTACAAAACGTAATTTCAAGGAACCAAATTAAAACTAACAATCTCATTCGCATTAAAATGTTTTTGTAAATGCAATTTGTAAAACTTTCTAGCCTTGTCCTATTAGCGTTAAGTTTCTAAAGTCATTTCGAAAGTTTTACTCCCTGCAACTTAAGTGCGGTCGCCATTAATTAATATAAATGATGACAGTTTTTAATGTTTGTCCTGGGCCCGCGGTGCTAATCACTTGAGCCCAGGACCACCGCCAATCCACAGCACTCTAGTGAAGGAGAACATGTCGCGTTTGTTGGATGTCATTAAAAAAATGAAGCAAAAGTGCCTCTTACATTACAACCCATAATTTTCGCATATTAGTCGTGGCTGACTGAGGGCCGAGTGTGCTTTTGCCAAGTGGAACCAGTCCGGGAATCATATGCACTTAACATGCAATTGCGTGCCGAGGACGAAGGCGCGGGCCAAGGAAACGCTGGCAAATTTGCCGGGCTGAAAATGAAAACATTATTCATAAGCAGTCGACAACG